TATGTGGAACAATTGTCAAATTATAAAAACGAAAATAAAAAAATGTTCCATTGAATCATCTGCCGTTTTAGTGTCAGCTTGAAGTGCATGGGGCGTCCAGCAGTAGTATTGGCAATATTTTCCTCATTAAGTAGTAAATTTATAGATTTCTATAACTTTTTTTCTATTTCAGTTTTAATTAAAGTCTAAACAGAATCTGAACCACCGACACTAATTGTAATCAACTATTGCTAATTAGTGAAGTGGGATGTGACGAGTACTTCCGTTCTAACAACTGCTAAAACTTATTCGGTCCGACAGTCGATCGTGAGCAATCGTATAATGCTGACTGCCGGCATATTTGATATTACTGCATACAAGTTAACATATTCAAGTATTAACAACACTTCATGAAGTGCACATCTCGACTTTGCTGAATATAATGTTGCGTAAGTCTGGAATATTCATCATTACTGAATACAAAGAAATAATTCTTAATCTTTTCACATCCCAGTTTTATCAGAAATGTTCATAGTAAATTACACTAGAAAAATTATTTTTAGGAATTATAAAATACCAGTATATCCATGTGCTATTAACTCATTTAAAAAATAAAACAATTTAATCCTATTATGATTACTGTAAAGACGTTTTGTACATGTATAGAATTATTTATCAATACTGACTTGTTTTAAAACATCTATAGCTGAGGCACCGCCCTTGAATAAAATAAATTCTGGATTACGATATTATTTAATGCACTCGGAAAAGTAATTGTACAGAAAAGAGAAATTATTTAACTTAACTTTTTTAAAAATCTTTTTCTTTGCACGTTTACATAAATTTACCAATTTCCGCGGAATATTTGCAACTATTGTGACGCAATATTAGATAGGTATTTGACGTCACCTATACATCAATGGAAACGTGGATTCAACTTGAATAATAAAGCAAATTTTAAACTAAATATTATGTTTGGAGGTGAAAATTAATTCCGTTTTTGAAAATAAACCAATTATTTTTGGTTGAACGATATTCTTTAGCGTATCAGTTCTAAATATCTCACAGGGGTTCTGATAGTAAGATGTTTAGCCAATTTCCCGATGCTACGGGAGATAACCCTTGCATCACAGAATTTCATAAAAATGACTGTCTACTTTGCAAGAAAACCACTATTAAAAATATTTTTCCCACTGATTTTATTTTTTAAATTGAAAGATGAAATATTTCTTGATTTAGTTTAGAGTGAATTATAGATCTGTTGAAAATGTATTAGAATTTACAGTTCTTTGTGTCCGACCTACATTCAATGGTTTATATAGGGGAATTCAAAAACACAAAACAAAAAGATATTTTAGTAAAAAAGCTATTTTCAAACAAATCTTTACTTACATTATTCCATATGGACTACATTAATATCGTTTTCAATAAAATATCAAATTTTCGTCACATTCGATGTGCCGCCTATTAATACAATACTGCCTGGTTTTCTGGTGGACTGCCTCTTAATACATAAAATACGAAAAAGGTAGGTATCTTTCCAGTCAATTTGTTAAAATATTTATCAAAGATCAATACTTATCATCGTATACAAACCTGTTTATTTTTCCAGTGTGTATTATATTTATGTTTTTTTTCTGTAAAGGATATAATTTCAAAAGTTTTATCATCTGTTAAAAAGGACATTAATGTTAAAATTGTAGTCTCGCAAATGATGGATGGATTTGCAAACTGATCACGGACTGTACTGTTTACTACTACATACCGATTATTTCAAAATTCGATATTGTAGAATCAAGCCGTGTCTGCACAAAGTATCGGCATCGTAACAATCTCATTTGGTCTAGGCTCAACATTTCTTCTTTATATATATATTTTTTTATAGAAGAATAAGATCATGTCATAAACTAAGGGATTCTATTTCTATATCGTTTTTACAGCAATATGTGTGTTTCGGATCGGGGAAAACGAAACTTCAAAGACGCTGACATTTTCAGTGGTTCACGCTTATCATGGACTTCAATACCACCGGCCTCGTGTTTATTTTGGGGATTCACATTAGGGATATTCCCCATATAAGTGTCATATTCTTCTTTAACAGAATATTATAGGCTCAATCAAAATTTTTATTCATATCAGAAAAGGTCACTTTTAATAAATTATTCTATTTTATGTTGCATTATGCGATTTTTCTTGGAATAAAAAACGACTTATTAACTTTTTTTTAATGACGATGGAATCCTTTTGGAATGTCGTATATGTGTATTAAACAGGGAAATATTTTTTTGTTTCTAAAGGTTTGATGCAGAGTAAGTAATCGAAGTTGTAGCTTAATTTAAGCGTATCCATCAGGATCATCCTCCGATAAAAAGCCCCCGTTTTGAGTTGCCGTGCCTTATTAACGACTCATTCAAACTGAATTGACTGAACTACGAAATCAGATAACTCACCTGAAAACATAGACACATTTACATTTACAAAAATAGCTTAAATTAACTAGATAAAAATATGGTAGAAATACATTAGTCTAATGCTCTGTTTACGTCAGTGGGCTCTTGTGACGTCATAAAACCACAAAATCAAGAACGATAAGCGGGTAAGAAAAGCAACAAGTGGAAAAGTTTTCACCTTTATTTTTCAGTAGAACAAAGGCCAAAAAATATTACTACTCGTAATTTATCATTCTTTCATAAGGGATGACTTCCGAATAGGATTTTTTATCGCCAACTTCTTACATGTATTTATGTAGCAAAATTTCCACTATCGCCTGCATATAGCGTTTTAGTCTCCTAACGTATTTGGTACACTAGAGCATGAGTAGATCAACTTTTAAACATGAGAGGCAGGAGAAAGTAGATCAAGTTGTTTTTGATCGGAATTGTCCGACGAACTGGATACATGTGTTTGCTAGGACAAATTAGCGAATTACATACCTGTATTTGTTCGAACAGATTTGGTGTGTTTTCTTTATATAAGACTTATCATTCCTCTGATAAAGGAGAGCAGCCAGAAAATCAGGAACGGTACATATATATTATTATAACAGTAACTTGATCCGAGGAGCCGTATCACGTTGAGTTGACAGGCGCGGATCATCAGATCAAACGAGACGCGAAGCGTCGAGTTTGATCTGATGATCCGCGCCTGTCAACGAGACGTGATACGGCTCTTCGGATCAAGTTACTGTTATAATGATAAATTTATTATATACCCCTTTACAACTAGCAAAGTATAATAAAAGGAAAACTTTTTTGTATCAATTACATAACTTTTATCCATTAAACAAACCATTTTGTCAAGGAACTTTTTGATGCGCGAGAATAAAAACGTCATATATCTGTGTACTACGTCATCAGTTTCAGAGAGGGGTGATATGGATTCAGAAAACCACAGTGTGGTGATCTGGAAAGTCGGATCACACTCTGTAAAATTAACAGTAACAAAAACAAGGAAATTGATGGGTATATAATAAATGTATAAAGCACACTGATGTTTTGCACTTTGGGACGAGATATGGATATCTGCATGATCAATTTTTTTTTTTTTACTCCATTCCTTTTAGGTTTCTGGGGTTTCGTGAAAGTTTTACTTGCAGTTTAGGTTCAAATTGCTTGCATCTCCATTTTTGCTTCCAATATGCAATGGATACTAGTAGTTAATTAATGCTTTTTCTTTCGGTTTTAATGAAAATATACCAAAAGTATCTTCAGCATACCACAATTCTTCTGATTCAAATTGTAAGATACCTTTGCTGTATGTCCGAAAATCACAAGCATGTACACGTTTAAAATCATTGACTTAAAAATATAGGCACTGAAACGCAACTTGCTTAACCGGTAGATAGACAATATAAACAATTCTCTCTCTCTCTCTCTCTCTCTCTCTCTCTCTCTCTCTCTCTCTCTGTAGAATATAAAAGGGAAAATTTAATTTAAAAAAATCTACATTTGCCAAATCCGTCGAATCAAATTGGAAGCATTTTCACATAGTGTAGATTGAAGTCGATTAATGTTGTCAATTTATCATATAGATACATCATTTTATTCGAAAATTTTTATGAGACCCACATATCATCCATGTATCTTCATCAGGTGAACATTTTCGCCCACAAACCTTTTGATTTATAATTCTTTAGTCTTTTTAAGCAAAAAGAAAAATATATCTCTAATAAAATCTACAAGTGGTCGTTATTCCAAGGGGATCATTTTTCTTCACGTAGGGTACCATATGCAGGTTTTAATTTTCTACAGACAAAAGGGGGGTCATTATTCGTCTTTACATCGGCGACAATACATGCAGTGAAGATATGTGCATATTGTTGCTGACGACAATACGTTCAACGACAATACATGTACGTACAGAAAGAGACTTAAGTACCGTCACAAACAGGGCCTTGATGTGGCTTCCACAGGCCCGTAGGAAGCAATTCCAGTTTGGGGGGGGGGGGGGGGGCACAGCCATACATTTTCAGTTGAGGGGGCACTATCAACTACCAAAAATTCCTTGACAAGCAAAAAAAAAAAAAAAAAAAGAAGAAGAAAAAAAGGTCATCAGACGTTTTTATTGAGGGGGCACAAGCATATAGTAACTATGTTTTCTATAGTAATCTATATATCGGCAAAATTATTGGAGGGGGGCGCCCCCCCCCCCCCGGTTCCTACGGCCATGTTCCAAACTCCCTAAATTAGCATATATCATGCATTTGACTACACTTCAGTTTTGAATTATTGACAAACTATACTCTTCCATGTACATGCATAGTGCAGTAATTAAGAGTCTGTTGAATAGAACTTGAATAATAAAGATGCCGTACCGCCTTAATTTATAATTAAATGGAAAACAAAAGGTTATGAATTATAAATGTTTTCCCTTCGCACCTTCCATGGACACGGTATACTTTCTGATAGCGCCCATCTACCTGGAAAAATCTTATGCCTCCTCGTCGTGTGATCGATTTCGGAACAAGCAACACAGCTGTCGACTTCTGATCGTATTTTTACCATATTTTCATACTTTTTACGACATACACGAGGGTATAATTGTTTTCTTACTGAATGGACGAAATTATCGGGTGTCTTCAGAAAATCATCTTCTCTGTCATCTTTGCTGTCGTTTTCAATGGAGAACATTCTTTAAATTTTCCTCATATTTCACAGAGTTTCATGGACGTTTATTTCCGGTGAAAATATTGATAACAGCGATTGAAAATTCTTTTGCCTGCGAGAGACAATTATCAAAGGTATCCTACTTCTATATTAAGAAATCAATATTCTTTTTCGGGTGTTTGATAAACCACGGGACAAGACGAAGCATGCAACATTTTAGGGCATCATAAATGTTAATATCGGACGACCAAGGTGTCATTCTACTAAGTGCTATACACTATCTGAAACACACATGTGAGGACTCCACGTGTTAGTACTGGGTATCAGAATATTTGGTCGGTTCTGGGCTACAGGTCGCCCATGATTGTGAAAAATAAACGGCGAATTCCATTTTATTTTCGCATGGGCTTCGGCATCAGTAAACAGGTGACGATTAACGAACGTCAGAAAGAAAGATACAGGTAGGTAATCAGAATATATAGACATCCATTAATGTCTTCTGTAAATATGGAAAGCTCTATTAGATATATCTTAAGAATTATCTGGAAACTTTGCCTTTTTTTTAATATCCTTCAAAATGGCAGAATATTCTCTCAGCCATTTTTTCTGCCACGCCCATCGTGATAGCACTAAGCGTCGTACTTTCTTCATAAAATCCAAATCAATTACTGTACCAGATCATTGTATGAATCATATCAGCTGTTACTTCTAGCTATTCTTCTGATAAATCTTCCTATATCGATTAACAATTCAAAAAGAATACATCTTCGCCTCATGTGCATATGACCATGGTAGTTAACAAACAGCCTTTAATGCCTCAAATGGAGATACAGACTCGTATTCGTAAATATCAACCTTCCAATTAAAAGTCTCAAAATCTGACAAAGTTTGAATTTTATCTGTCGGTCCTCAGACCGTACCCTATCGACCATTTAATGCCCAGCAATTAAATTAAATCTACTTGCTGATATGTTTATTTACCCGAGCCTTATTTCCTGAATAAAATTTGGCACTTGAATATTGGTCTATGTCCTTATCTCTAGCTTGTCCTTCTGCACTAAGAGGGTAAAGATCATTTTGTATAAAGAATATGGAGTAATGAAATGCTATTGGTGATTACATGGCGTATATCTCGTTAGAATTTGGATCCTGTCGAGGTGCAATTCCTATAAGACGATATTCTGTAAATTCTTTGCGCAAAATCTATAAGGAAGTAAGGTATGTTAGATATAAGTACATCAACCACAAGTTATAGGTTAGTCCTCTCTCTCTCTCTCTCTCTCTCTCTCTCTCTCTCTGATCGTTGAAAGTTGAGCTAGTTTGTGATTAAAGATATGAAATGAAATCTGGTTCAATATATGTGCATGTATTCTATTGATTTTTACTTACAACAAACACTGATGCTACATGACGAAGTTTTGAATTTTTCATGTAATAGATTCCTTTCTATATAGAATAAAAGCTAACGTGGGTTTCATTTCCACATACAATATAAGGTTGTTTTGAAATTAATATAAATTGCATAATATTATATGCACTTATTTTATTTTGGAAAGCAATATGTACATTAATATTGATGAAACAGAGTCTGTAAAAACGGAGAATTTTTTTTTTTTTTTAAATACGTCTGTGGGTTTTTTTTTCTTCTATCTGTTGTACGTGTTTTCTCTGATTTTAATTTTTTTTTTTTCTGAAAAAGGTAAAATCAATGGCGTATAATTGTTGTTGCATTAATCCTTGTATCAACTATAAATATGATCAAATGGCCCCTTCATCCACCCTGTTCATCACTTAACAAGTACACTGTATACCTGTACACGTGTTCAATAAGAAATTATCTCTAGAAAAATGTAATATGGAATACAAGGAAACGCCTCTGCTGACCCTGCCTGTTATTTACTCTGATCATCTATCTGGATTTAAACTTCATTTGTCTTAAAACCCAGTGTTGGTGTATTTACACATGCATCATTTTTCATATTGCTGTCCTTTGTAAATCATTTCACAGTGCCAGAGTCAAGAGGTTCATTAAAAAATAAACCTGGTTATCAGAACAGGAAATTGACGTACCAGTATTGTCCTTTAACCTTTGCTAGCATATGTTTTTGTTTGTTTGTTCGATTGTTTGTTTTTTGGTTTTTTTTTCAAAGGAGTTTGATTTAAGGTAAATGCGGGCGAGATTTATCATAATATGCATTAAAAAGTAAAATTTGAAGGAAAAAATGCCAAAACATGTATATATCCAACAAATCAGTACAATCTTGCTAACAAAATGCTCTAAAATATTTAATCTAACCAATATTTTATCATGTAAAAATACTTTTATTGGATTGGACATCAGGCACCATCCCTATATATATCTCCTCTCAAAGAGGGTCAAGCTTACAAGTGCATAGTATAATTATTAAATGTAAGGATTGACAAAAATGAGTACAACATAATCAAATACTAGTTTAAAAAATACTTTTGAATGTTTTCGTTACTAATGAAAAAGTTTTATAATCCATTTTTTTTATTTGAAGCTAAAAATAATGAATAAAGAGAGTCTACAATCTTTCATGTTTCTCGTCATTTTGTTGCTCACATTTTCCACAAAAGCCTCGTTTCAACCGAGGCTAGAAAAATCAAAAAAGTCATCTGACGAGAAATTACTTGTACAGGAGAACATATTTACCAAGAAAGAGATTAGGTACAAATAAAATTACGGAGCTCAGCAGTTTTGTGAGTGTGTGTGTTTGAAGAAATATACAAAGAAATGGCAATTCCATTTGGTAATGGCACCTGAGTACAGATTTTCTAGCTGTTGAACACCTGTATTTAAATTAAGAACTTGTCATTTCAGATCTTCGGCTATCGTATTCAGTCGTGTGGATGCTGAGGGTGTCCTGAAGTTTGAGTTGGTGGGGACGTATTTACTGTATCGGGACTATGAGAGCGACCATTTGTATTTATCCGTGAGGTAATCTCCCTTTTTCTTGTTTGATTCTAAGAACACTTATTAATTTAAATATACTCCCAACAAATCTGTCTTACAATTTATAGTAAAACAACTGCGACATCAAATTTATTTCATGTCAATTTCCAATTATTGTTTAACTGAACCGTCAATGATTTTACTGTTGAATTTGTATATAATGAAATGTGAAAAAATGTACCATATTACACAGATCCAGTGACATGGTGGAACATCACAGGATAAACTTTGAGGATAATTTGTATTACATGGATAACCAGCCTTATCCATATCTAGATTCCATCATTCTTTATCACCAACGACACAAACTGAACGGAACCAAACTCACTCATCATGTAAGTTAATGTTTCAAACTCATTTATCATGTAAGTAATTGTATCACACTCACTCATCATAAATATTTCTTGTATCACACTCATTCATCATGTAAGTAATTGTATCACACTCACTCGTCATATTATTTCTTGTATCACACTCCCTCATCATGTAAGTAATTGTATCACACTCGCCATTTAATGTTTCAAACTCATTTGTCAAGTAAATTCTTGTAGCAGATTCACTCATCATTTAACTTCTTGTATCAAACTCACTCATCATTTAATTTCTTGTATCAAATTCACTCCTTATGTAAGTTCCTGAACAAAACTCACTCATCCAATAAGTTCCTGCATCAAACTCACTCATTATGTAAGTTTCTGAAAAAAAAATGCTCATTATGGGAGTTCATATGCAACATTTACTCATCAAGTGAGTTTCTGTATCAAAATCACTCATCGTTCAAGTTCATGAAGCAAACTCATTCATCATGTAAGTTCTTGAATAAAAGTCAGTCATTATGTAAGTTCCTGAATAAAACTCTCTCATCATGATATGTGAAGATAACAAACAGTGAAAATACTCAAAAGTCCACTTAAACAATACAAATTATGAGCAGAGCCATTGCTGATCTATGAAAACAGGGGTTTGATCAGGTGCCATGGAGGAGTAAGCATCCCTTGTCGATCGGTCACACCCGGGTGTGGCCGCCATGTGCTCCTTGTCATGGTTGGGCAAAGGGAAAATCTGTATAGACAATTCAGTGTGAAAGCAACGGCCCAAAAATTTGTACGAAAGACATCAGTCAACTTTCACCAAATGATAAATTGTATCTACAATCAAGGTCACCGTATTGTCCATAGAATATGCGAAATATTGACGTCAAACGAGATTCTTGACACCCCTACATCATCAACCCACTGTCAACAGCCTGTATCGTTTTAGAAATTGTTCGTGTGTAAAACATGCTCTTGTGTATTGAATCAACTGCGAGACATAAACACCACACGCAGGTGATATCGGCACACTGCTACTTAAACAAGATAAGTCAATGATACTAAAGCTAAAGTCGTCTCGTTTATCATAAGTTTTACTTGTTACTTAGTTGGCACAATTTCTTTTTCTAGTAAAACATCCAAATATTAAACAGATGTGGTGTCCTTTATTTCAAGTTCAATGGGATTTATCGAATTAGCGTAAGAATGAAACTGAATACTGTGAATTGTTAATAGTAATTGACAAAACGTCCATGATATATATAAATATCGAATAGAAGGCCACAGCAAGAGCCTTCTTCTTTTCATGTAGAAGCATTGGAACAAGCTCCGCCCCATATGAACACAAAAGTAGGTCTGTCAATAATGGGGCACAATAAGTACCCATGGGAATATTCTAACAGATTGTTGGAGGACCTGAAATCCATAAACGACATATATATTAGAGTCAGAATGTTTTTAACGAAGTAAGTTTGCAGATTACCAATGACAAGATGTGCAAATGTATGAATTCCATTTTTATGGAAGAAACATTTTTATGTTGTCAAAAATTCTGGTAATCATAAAAGTTCTTTTACAACATTCACTCATCATATAAGTTCTTGTGTCAAACCCACTCAAATTATAAGTACCTGCATCAGACTCACTCATTAATTAAGTTCCTGGATAAATCTAACTCAATCATATTACCGTAAATCTGGAAATTTTTACTGTAGATAATTTTTTAGCAAATTTGCGCGTGCAATGCATTCGCAAAAATATATTTCTTAAAAATAAATCAACAACAAAAAAATAGAAAACAAAAAATATTTGCTATTTTTAACAAGATGAACAGGTGTTCGTAAGCAGTGGTGATTTTAAGAAACCTTTTTATACTACAAGCTAATTATCCGTGATAATTCGTGCGTGAGAATGCCTTCACTACATTCAATATCGTTCGATGGTTTTTACAGACAGTATGTCTCTTTTAAATTATTTCTCTAAGAAAGAAAGGCAAACAAACGTTATTATTTGATGGTTAGTTAAAGCTGACATCGTTTTATATATTTTATGCACAAGCGTGATTTATTAAAATGTAATGAAAAATTTAAATAGTTTAGATGTTTTATCTCTTGTAATATTTTTGTCTGATTATTGAACATTAGCATTGTTTAGTATTGTATGTACAAAATTTTTACTGTATGTACATGCGTAATTTATTGTATATACATGCGTAATTTATAATCCGATTATTGAATGTTGGCATCGTTTAATATTGTGTGTACAAGCGTACCATGTGCGTAACTTATAAATTGCTATGAAAATTTTAAGCGCTTTTTAATGTTAGCACCAATGTCAATTCGCAAAATTTTGAAACGTAAAAATTAATGTACAGCTTTTTGACCCAGATTCGCAAAAATAAATCGACGTAAAAATTTCCAGATTTACGGTAGTCCTTACAAAACTCACTCATTATGTAAGTTCCTGTACAAACTCACTAATCTGTATCAAACTCAACCAGCATATGAATTCTTGTATCAAGCTCACTCATCATATAAGGTCTTGTGTGGATTTCCTTCATCATCTGATTCACTAATCATTTGATTCACTAATCATGTAAGTTCTTATAATCTTGTAAGTTCTTGTATCAAACTTATTCATCATGTAAGTTCCTCTACAAACTAACTCATCTGTATCAAACTAATTCATCATGTTAGTTCTTGTATCAAACTCACTTATCAAGTACGGTCTCTATAAGATTCACTCATCATGTATGTTCCTGTACAAACTCACTCATCATATGACTTCTTGTATCAAACTCACTCATCATGTAAGTTTCTGTAACAAACTCAATCATCATGTACGTTCCTGTACAAACTTACTCATCATGTAATTTCTTGTATCAAACTCACTCATCATGTACTAAGTTTTTGTATCAGATTCACTCATCATTTAGGTTTTTGTATCAAACTATTTCATCCTGATAATTACAGTATCAAACTAATGTAAATTCTTGTGTCAAACTAACTCATCAAAATTCTAGTACAATAAAAAGCATTTCAATTCTTGTTTGAAACTCACTTATTATATTAATTTCTGTATGAAATATGAAGAGAAAGAACAGTAATCAAGCTCAAAAGTCCATTGAAACAATACAGATTTGAAGCAAAGCAAACACGAACCATTAAAAACATCAGAGGTGGGATCAGGTGCCATCGAGGAGTAAGCATCCCCTGTCGACCGGGAAATTGTTTCCTCCCTCGGGGAACCATAAATTTGCTATTTCCCTCATACCCATTCCATAACTGTATACTATTTCCGTTTCAGGCCCCTCTCAGTGCTCGCACTGTGAAGGCGTTTACAACAAAGGTTATGCGTCACAATGGAAATCTGTCACAAATGGAAAATGACCCAAATGTCCACAATATCCATGATAAATCTCATTACATTGCCAGTATAGAACATACTAACGATGACGTCATCAAAACCCGGATATCCAAATCTAGTGGTAGGTTATGGATTTCTGGTACAATGCAACATTCTCTCAAGCGTATATCTATGCCGATTCCGGAAGTTTATCATCATCTTGGAGATAACGACAGTAGACTGAAACAGAGTTACAGAGGAAGTACAAATTTCTTATCAAAAGCTGATAGTTTTGGTGATCTGAACGGAGACATATTTGATTCTTCGGTATCCGCTAGAAAGCGGTCTGATGTCACGGACAGTGATTGTGATTCAGTAAACATCGATGACGAAGACGTCATACATGACGATGAAAATATCAGAAACTTTGACGATGAGGAAGATGACGGTGTTTTGGTTTACGATACACACTTATGATATCCGAAGTTTTTTTCTTACCCCCAAAAATCCTATTATTTTATGTATGTTTAAGAATGTCATAATCATATATTTATAAAAGAATGTATTATGTTTTATGTTTTCAAATAATGTTTTTCCTTCTTTTTTTTTAATGTTTCCACTTCTATTTCATTCTCCCAGCAGTTGTTTTTACGAGTTGAAAGTCATTTTCTAAAAAAAAACAATTCTTGATGATTTAGCTCTAATTCCTAAATAATGCATTTAATATGTAAATTTTTATTTTACTAGATGGACAGTTTACAACATGTTACATATATATAATACCACATTAACATACCTTCTTTACCCAAGCATTATGAGGCAAGCCGAACCATATTCCAGATGTTAATTAATACTCTAATATTTACAAATTTAATGAAATATTAAATCTTTTAAGTTAACAACCTATATTCAGATAATTATATGTAAAGTTCTCTTTAACATGTACATGTATTTGGATTGTGATTAAAGTTTTATATATTAAGTACATGTATTTGTTTTTTATTTTCCTGGTTGCTGTATCATCAATAAGCTTTAAACAAAACCCAATAAGGTTTGTCATTTCCTTGGCACTGCAGCCTAAGAATCCCGATACGTCGGCAAATGAAAAGGTGCCTAAGATGTAAATATGATAATTTCCTAGAAGGTATATTGTATATCTGGATGCTTTATGTCCTAAGACGCCAGGCAAGAGAATAAAATTGTAATAAAACACATAATAGCAGCAGAAATACGGATGGAAATCAGAAAACAATTGCAGTAGATTTCAGGAGACGCGCTTTAAAGCTTTCTCACTTAAAATGGATAGTTTGCTGGTGTTAATTGTCATCATGTTTAAAGTTTTCGGTAAGTATAAGTTCCTTTATCTACAATGTATCAATCATGAAGGCCGAAGAACATGAAGAATGTGAAAGTAAAGAAAATCCAGTCGAATGTACGTAAAGCTCCCAATTTCGGGTTTCATATGGCTTACATCTGATGACAGAGATTAAACTAAATGTTGCAAATTCAAAATTGTGATTGACTTCCTATGTATGATGGTTTAAATGACTTACCTGACTGTAAAAGTTAATCTGCGTTAACTATAAAACTGTGAAAGAATTTAATCAGTAGGGTTTTTATTTTGTTTTATTTTTGCTTTGTTTTTTGTATATTTTTCTCTAGAAGTCTACTCGTAGTTTTCAAAATGAAATATATGAAGATAACGAACAGTATTCAAGCTCAAAGTCCATTAACTAATACAAAATAGGAGCAGAGCAAACACGGACCTCCAAAACATCAGAGGTGGGATCACGTGCCATGGAGGAGTGAGCATCCCCTGCCGACCGGTCACACCCGCCGTGTGCTCCTTGTCATGATCGGTAAATAACGGAAAAATCCTTCGACAATTCAGTGTGTAAATAATGGCCTAACAATTAGTATGAAAAACGTCAGTCAACATTTGACTCAGTGATAAATTGTATTTGCTGACAAGGTCATTGTATCGACCATAGAACTTATGAAATGATGACTTTAAAAGAGACTGCTGAAATTCTTGTTTCATCAACTTGTTTGTCAATAATATACCTCGTTTTAGAAATTGTACATACGAAGAGCATGCTCTTGCGTATCGAATCAACTGAGAGATATATACCCCGTATGCAGGTGGTAAAGGTATATTGCCGCATAAGTAAGGTAAGTTGACGATTGAAAAGTTAAAGTCATCAAGTTTATCATAAAGCTTGGTTGTTAGATTGTTAGATTTTTCAAGTAAAATATCCAAATATGAAACAGATGTGTCAGACTCTGTGGTATCTTTTATCTAAAGCTCACCGGGATATATCGTATCGACATAAGAATGGAAATAACCATTGTTAATTGACAATACGTCGTCGATATATCTAAATGTCGAGTTGAACGCCACAGCAAGTGTTTTCTTCTTTTTACGTATAAGATTTTGGACAAATTCTGCTTCATATGAATACAAAAAAAGGTCTGCTAATAACGGGGCGCAATTGGTACCCATGGGAATTCCAATAGATTATTGGAAGACCTGGCCCCAAGACCATAAACTAATTATAGACTTAAGTCAAAATTTTGATTTTTATTTAATGTTTTTGCTTAAAAAATTGCAATTTTATATAAAATTCAAATTCAAATATATGATGAAAATTTTGTTTCATTTTCAAAATTATTTCAAAAGTTATATTGGTTTGAAATTTTAACTTAAGTCTGTTCTTTAGTTTATGGTCTTGGGGCCTGGTCTCCAAAAACCACATAGACATTGTCAATCAGAAACTCAAGCATCTTTTTAATGTCAACTTCAGAGTACTTTTGTGCACAGTCAGAATGTTTTTTAACAAAATAATTTTGCAAATGACCAGTGACAAGGTAAGTAAATTTATGAGTTCCATTTTTATTGAAAAAGCAGCTGTCAAAGATATCAAAAAGCCTGGACATTAATTTATCGTGGGGAATGGTTGTGTATAAAGTTGAAAAGTCGTAAGTTTTTAAGCTGTTGATTTTGGTGGATTCTTGTGATTTCAAATTTTCCAAAAGTTCCTTGGTATTTTTAAGTATCCACATCTGATTTACACCACTTCTCGAATATATTGTTGCACAGTACTCTTGAAGTTTCTCCTTCACTACTGTTAATATCTTAGTGAGGAGTAAAGAAAGAGGCTTGGTAGAACATTTACTGGAACCCACTATGTATCTTTGTTTGTAAGGATTAAAATAGTATTTTTTGAAATAATTTATAATTTTATAAATGTACTTACACACGATATTGTCCCTCTAGTGGTTGAAACATGTATTAAAAACTACTAAAATATACATGTTTTGGAATTAGTAAGCTTCAGAACTATTTGGGAGTAATGAGCTACAGACCTTTAATATTTTGAGGTGTAGTGATCTACAGATGTATTTGAGATTAGTGAGCTACATACCGGTATTTTTTAAATTGGTGAGCTAAAGAATCTTGAGATAATATAGCTAAATGATAGCATCCGGTAAAGTATTGATTTGATTTCTTCAGTTTTGTCCAAATCAGACGGTCAATGGGTGTGTCGAGAGATCTACTGTTACTCTCTTTTCACGAAATATGGGGGAATAAGCTTTCATGACGCAATGATCAGATGCAAGGAAAACAACTCATCCGTGGCTAGTATCCACAGTGAGGAGGAAAAGAAGTTTGTGGAAAATATCAGGTAGTCACCGTAATCCCCCGTCTCTCGCTGCTCTTGTCTTCATCCCGATAATTTTTGAAACGTTTCAACTTTTTAAGTAAAGAAATTTAAAAGAGAGCTGATATTAAGAAAATGTAACTCTTTAATTGGTTGCGGGGGCTTTTTTATTAATGGTAATTAAGTAAGGTGTTAATAAACAAAATACATATATTTGTTTAAAAGGAGATCAGCGATCTTTTAAAAGCGTGATTTTAAAACCATAATGTTGCATTTTTTCCAAGACATCTAGGTTGAGTTGTTTAACCTATGTAAACTTTCTTCCACAATTAGTTCGAGCAGGTCGTTATTACAAACAAAACTGGTAAAAGGATGCAGCTGCTATTCCTCAATTTTGAATATAATGACCGTTAGCATACTTGATTCTGACCATCCGGCGCGCCCGGGTAAACCGGCGATGACCGGCGACACACTTGATTCTGAGCCGGGTGAGCTGATTGAGCCGGAAAAATTTGATAGGCTCGGACGGCTTCAACATGGCGTCCTTGGGGATAGTAGTGTTGAAAGTTATATGTTTTAAGACGTGACTGAAGCTTTTGATCGAGGTACGCATGTGAAATGAACATATTTGCAAGAAGTGTAGTCCTTTTCTATGCTAGATAATGTTTTACGATAGAAATACAATATTTCTATTACTTTACATGAGCCTTTTCGCTTTATTCTAAGAGCGTACCGGGGTTTACCCGGCTTGGTTCGGCTCAGCCGAATTCTATCACAATCAAGTATGCTACATTATTCTGTCTTGCAGGATGGAGTCTGTGGGCATGCCAGTGTGGATTGGTATGAGGAGATTCTTAAAGGAAAAGAGATGGGTAGATGGGTCGCCTGTAGACTTTTTACCAAGCCCTGGGGGTTACCATTCTGCTAGAAACTTAAGTATGAATGCCCTTAACAAGCTACTTTCTAAGAATTTGATTGGAAAAATTATTAAGAACCATTCGGCTCTTTAAATCTCCCTATTCACGTGATTTACTCCGTCCTTCCGTTTTTGGGCTTTAACAAGCCTGAGGGTATGAGTTGCAACTTAAATTATTAATATATATGCCATCATTATCTCTAAGCAAAATCGACCTTAATTTAGTTTGAAGGGGAGATAAAATTATCGTTTGCATGTTTTATACTATATTTTCCAGATATGTATTGTATCAAGTCTAGGATCTATTTACGCCGTTCTAACATACATTAGTTCTATGTTCTGAAATTGTGATACTTTTTAAAATCCTATTCTGTTCTAGACACGTGTATTTACATCAGTAGTGACTGGTACGAGGGAACGTGCGACAACAATTTGTACTTCATCTGCAAACGTGAAGGTTGGGAGATATATCATTCATAACACAAATCTCACGAATATAAAGATAGAAGTACATTGTAATCCGATACCAAAAGCCATCAATGATCAACAGTTTATTGCAATACATACAGGTTTTACAAGTACTTCTCTACACAGTCATTTATCTTCTACATCACTGCTGTGAACAAGTTTCCTTGCGTCCAAAAGCATCCCTTCCCGACGTTGGTACCCAATTCAAAGAGTATCATTTTGAATTTCCGATTTACATTTGCGCTACAGTGATGCTAGATAGCTAGAGAGAAACTATTTCCAGAATCAAAACCTTCAGGTCAAGGTCAAAGAAAGTGATAGTGTGACAGGTGTTCACACAATTCAAAGAGTAAATCGGTCCTACACTTACTATATAGAGACGCTTGGTGGCCAGAAAATGTTAAGGACAGTAATGAGTGTTAACCTTATTGTAAACAAAATATAAAGAGGACCACTTGAGCTTACAGTTTTGTTCCAGATATGTTTAACTTGTAACTATAGACAGAAGCAATGTTAGGACCAAAAAGATCAGAGGTCAAGAGAAAAGGAAGTGACGAAAGTTTGCTTGTAAATTAGACACAGTTTATTTATTGCTATTAGACCATAGTGTCGTATATTACATGTTGTTAAAGAGATTTTAAATAGCAGGAAAACAGAGACATTGAAGAGGTCAAACATTTGAGAAAGGTATCGGAAATAAAGCGCCGTTTCTTATCTAAGAAACAGAGTTCGAATGAAATCCATTTGTGGGGAATGTTCATGCTCTGCTTTGCGGTACCCTTCTTTCTGACATCATAAATAACCATTGATTTCTAAACTTCCGTTATTTATATACAATTAGATTAATGTATGTGTTTCCAATTCACAAGCACACATTTACATTTACTTGTATCTATATTAGATAGATAGATAGATAGATCAAAAACCCCGTTATATTTTACAATTTCTATATAGTTGATGAGAATTCAAGCCACTTGACAAATCAATCGATGTCGGGATCCTCTACCATCGTCATCGAGAGATGGTCAAGTGAGCATAGCCTGGCAGTATCTGCGTCAGATACCATGACAACAGCTTCCGTATCTGACGGACAACGCAGTGCAGAATCAAGAAACAACAGAAGCCATGCAGATTCGTATGACAAACGACAATTTGAAGAAATACTGGAGAGTCTAAAAGTGAAGAGGAAGAAAGCCAGTACACATAGTACAAAAGAAGCTCCCGGAAGTCAAGCCATTGGGGCAGTCGCCATGTTAATTCTGTTGTTGATGTTCACGGGGGTTATTTTACTAGACTTGAACACCTTCCAGCAGAACTGGAGAATGTTTCGTAGGAATGTGTCTGATGTACGTTATCACTCTCAGTGAGAAAAGTCTCAGTACATAAATATTTTATTACACATACATTTGTAATTTACATGTAATTAAAACATGCACACACCTCAATCATTCATAATTACATGTATATAGTTGGTACACAATAAACTAGTGCACACTTCCTTAAACAAAAATCACTGATGATATACTCTCATACAATTTCACATAAGAAGTGTTGATAGTAAGACTGTATGACTATGAAATTGTATCACATCTGACAACACAATGCCCTTGCACCCTGCATTTAATTGTTCCTGCAGCTTGACTGAGTAGACAAGTACATCTTAAAAGATAATATCTGTACTTATTTTTAATTTGAGCATTAAAGACATTACAGTCATATTTACAAAGTAATTTGTTAAAGTAATATTAATGCTACAATTCAGTGAACTACATTGCACAAATTATTCCTGCTTTTTATAGGAACATTTACATATTTGATGTTTCATATGCTTCTATGGTAACTTTTAAATTTTTAAAGCATTCACAAAAATTTTAATTTATCTTCACAAAATAAATTTCTGTAACATCATGTAATTAGCAAGGTTGTACAAAAACCCTTGATAACAAGTATACAATGGTTCTTCCTGAACATTGAAATTGCGAAAGATGATCACATTATCTCAATTCTCTCCAGAAAATTTGAAGAGAAAAAAAGTCTGAGATTTATAGAATCTAGAGAATTTTAAAAAAGCATTATTTGCATCTAATAATAAAATGTACATTCATACACCAAATCTATAAACCCAAAACTTTACAATCGACAAGAAAATGAACTGATCAATGTCCTACTTGAAACACTTGGCATAATGTCCTACATGAAACACTTGGCAGATGAAGCCATGGCATTAAAACAGTATCAAAGCACTTATAAATAAAAAAAAAAACTCACAATATTGTACTTAATATGGCAGATTAATGAGGGATTCTGCATATTTCTCTTCATGTCTTTCAGACATTTCTTAGAGTAGTCCTCAGCAGTTGGTGAAACATGATCTTAAAAGTGAAAGCCATTTAGCTAAGACACAAACAACCAAATTACTAAGTCAATTAAATTGACAATATTCACTTCCTAATATACTAAATAGAAAGTACCACATTAGTGGACCTGGCAAGCAGAAATCTCTCAGTGAGTTCTTTCGTAGCAAAGAGTTTTTGAAAAAGAACAACTCAAATATGCGTACTGTGCAATCTGTGCTACATCAAAATTTCAAATGAAAATTTTATTGTAAAAGCCTATCCTTAAGTGAACAAAATTGTACCATGTACCTTTGTAAAAAACATGAAATTTTTTTCAATGTTTTGCATGTTCTGAAGAAAATAATAAATGTTTAAACCAAGACTGATGTACAAAAATTGTAAAGGATACATGTAGTTCAATTAATTTGTGGGTCTAACTTGATTGAATTTCGTTAAAACTGATCATTTTCATGATTTTATCATTGTTTACATCCAGATTTTACAAGAAAAAAGTTACAGTTACACTGAATACATGTACATGAACAAAAAAAATTATTATAAAGTTCCACCTTCTAATGTTTTTCCTGTTTATTTAAACTGCTTCCAGAGGTACAGACCAGCACACACACCCACTCCTAGGAAAGCTATTCCATAAAACTGATTCTGAGGAGTCCCAAAGTATTCCACAATAGCATCCTATTGGAAGAAATTAAAGACAAAATACTTAATGTTGATATAACATCTTCATCGTGAAATTATACACAGTATACTTATATATTTTATATGGTATATCAAGTATATAATTATAACAAAGTATCCATTGTTTACCTACCCAGCCTCCCCTTTCTATGATCCAACCAGCCACGTAGTCTGTGATAAAATTTACCACCCAATTCACTATGGACCTGATCAGATTTATTTTGCTTAGAGCCTGAAAAAAAATTATTTATTAATTCATTTGATAGAAAAATTCTACTTGAGTCTTCATCATTTAAATGAAAGAAAACTTCTAATCGGCTTAATGTGCCAATAACATGATGCAAGGCTCTATAACAAAGATGGATATTCTCTTAAAAGGTGAAGATATGTGACAGATTCAAGGAAAAAAAATTGCTGCGAGTTAAATAGGAGACAATCAGAATTTATTTTAAATCAATGAATTAATTTGGTTCTCTACACAAGGTGCTTCTTCTCCTCTGTGTGAAATACAATCAAAGGGATAAAACTAAACAATTCTAAGCCTAAAATGTTTTGCAGTTATCTCCCTTATCATGCACAAGACACAAGTTTTCCAGATCATCTGATGGGCACTAATTGTGCTTCTTTATCAGCTGCTTTTTATATTCCTATGAGGCAGAATTTATTCAAAAACTTCTACATGAGAAGAAGACACTTGCTGTGACCTTCAAGTTGACAATCAGATGAATCGACAATGTTTTATCAATTCAAAATACAATAAATCACTTTTTATTTGCAAGAATTTTATTTTTGTGTAATTACATGAGACTCTTCTTGCAAAAATTTCATTCTTGTATTGATTTGTATTACATGTATTAAAGATTAAATACAACAATAACTGAAATTCATGAATTTTTTTCCTCCCTTATCAATACCAAATAACTATCTAAAAAATATAGTGATCCACAGTGGTTACTTCCATTCATATGTAGACTCAGTATATTCTAAATACATCCCAGTGAACTCAAAATAAAAGATCCCACAAAGACTGGCATGTCTGTTACATTTTTGGATATTTTACCAACTATAGTTGATAGGGCCAACTAACAGCTAAACTGCATGACAAACAAGCTTTTCAATTTTCCCTTGTTATCTTTCCTTATTTATGTAGTAATATTCCACACCCTCCTTTAAAATCAGCATTTTGTAATTCTATGGTCATTTTAATGACCTTGGTAGCAAATACGTCAACCTACAAATATCACTGGGTCATATTTTGACTGACATATTTCATTCCAATTGTTAGGCCTTTGTTTTAACTATGGCTATTTCTTCTACCTGATCAATACAAAGGGCTCAAGGCAGATATGACTGGTCTACAGGGGATACTTACTCCTCCTAGGCACCTGATCCCACCTCTGGAATTTCCAGAGGTCCCTGTTTTACGTCCTGTTCACAGATTTGTATTGTTTGTAGGTTTTTTGAGATCGATCACTGTTTGTTATCTTCATGCACCTATTTCATTTTCTTTGTATTCATTTAAATCATGTATTGGCAACAGATATAGATGTGGATTTCAGTTCTGGATTTTTTTTCTCTCTCAATTTTTTTCACTTTACTGGATTTGAAAAATCTTGGTTTACACCTCCATAAGAAAAAATCACTTGCAAAGTCTTTATATAGTGTAAATTTTTCAATGCATTTCAGTGAGTTAATCAAAAATCACATGGAAATTGTATGGTGTATATGATGTAAATATTTACAGTTTTCAGTGACTATACACTTGTACATGCTGTATGATATGACATAAATATTTACAGTTGTCAGTGATTGTACATGCTGTATGATATGATGTATATATATACAGTTGTCAGTGATTACACATGCTGTATGATATGATGTAAATATTTACAGTTGACAGTGATTACACATGCTGTATGATAATACGTAAATGAAGTTTTTAGTGAATACACCTGTGATTACCTTGACAGCCATTTTATAGGCAAAGTAAAACAGACATCCAACTCGACCCCAGTTGTACACACCATCCGCAAAAAAACTATTGGCCACATTTAAGAAAGTTTCATGGTTTGCACTTGGATTTACTTGGTCACACAGACTGAAAGGAACCAATTCACATGGAAATACATGTGTAACTTGACAAATCTATATCACAATAACTTTTCATTCAATAAGTAATGACAAACTATTTGCTGGATCATAAACATGTATCAAATAAAAGTATTTAGAACTTGTTGTTTCAAACTGTTTTTTTTTTATAAGAAATTGAGTTTCAGCATACATGTATTAACTTAGAAATATATGCCACGCAGTGGAAAGACAATTATACAGTTGAGCCTTAGTAATCCAGATGTCAATAGTATGGATACCTTACTTTATGGGGAACAGAATTTACATTCAAAATTGCTAATTATAAATTTACTCAAGAAAACAAGCATCTGAATTACTGAGCCTCAGCTCTATATGGATTTACATACTTCTGAATTTGTTCATTTCTGTCCAGCTCATCTCCTATACAACGTAGAGCTCGACCAATTTCTCGAACATATTCTAAGGGAGGGCCTAATAATGATAAAACAAAATCTCATAAATACATAATTGTTTAATTTTTTCATCACAATGGATTCAAACCACAGTACATCATTTAACTCATTTAAGTAAAGGTTGGTAGCATTTTTTTTTTCTTTAATCAAAACATGGTACATAAATTCTTCAATCATAGAGAGAGACATACGTACAGAACCATTGTATATAAAGGATTGGTAGAGTTATTGGCCCTTCATGTTTTTAAAAATAAGGCATATAACACCTCAAGTTATTGTAAATGCCTTCAAAACCCAACCAATTAGAAATACTTCGTAGTTTATCTCTATTTAGGCAGCAAATCTTTTATGAACATAGAATATCATATGGCAAATCTTTCCCCTGTGCAATTATAACACTGAATCAATGTAAAGCACTTGCCAGGTTACTTTTGATATCTTTATTGATATATGCACTTTAGCCATTTCATCCAAATAAAATAAACCTAAACATGTTTTAAACCATGGTAATATTGAGGCCTCAACCAAAAGTATGGAAATTCACAGAGCACTTCAACATTTTGATTCCTACACAGTTTGTACATACCAGCTCAAAAAAATAAAATGACTTTGTAACTTGGTGCCCAGAGAAGTTACAATAACCTACTCCATCATCAAGAGAGGGTGGCAGGAGATGATGGTTTTCTTAGCTGTTGGGAGGGACCCCTCTCCACATAAAAGAAGAATTAAGTACCTTTCATTTATTTGAGAGAGTTTGGAGAGCTCTGAAAATATTTTCATGGAAACTCTAAGCTTTTCAAAAGGGACTTTGTCTATCAATGTAACATTGTGTGCATGAAACAAGAGGCCTATGGGCCACATCGCTCACATGAGCACTTTGGTTACAGAAAGCAGAAATCAGTTCAAAACTGAAAAGTTTAAAAATATAAATAGCCCCACCCTACCCCCAATGGTTGATGATTGGAACAAATTTACTTCCATATTAATATGACTAATTAAAGCTTAGCTGTTCTTGAGAGGATTTTTAAAGATTTTTTCTACATATCCCCATGTAAAACTTTGACTGCATACCCGAGGGGTCATGTTTGAAGAAACTTGAGTCTACAGAACCTGACAATGCTTCTGAATAAATATGACTCATCATGGCTCTGCATTCCTTGAGAAGAAAATTTTCAAAGATATTTCCTACACCTTCCTATGTACAACTTTAATTCCCTGTTTTTGCTCCACCTTAACCCAAGGTCATAATTTGAACAAACTAGAATACACTACCTGAGGATGCTTCTGTTGCTAGTCATGAAAAGAAGATTTTTACAGAAATTTACTACATATCCCTATGTATAACTTTGTTCCCCTGTTGTGGCCCCACCCTAACCTAGGGGATCATGACTTGAACAAATTATATAATGATGCTTTCACATAACTTTCATCTTTTCTGGCCCAGTGGTTCTTGAGAAGAAGATTTTAAAAAGCTGCCATTAAATACACACCAATTCTTAATTATCTCCCCTTGAAAGAGGGTGTGATTCTTCTGTGAACAGCTTGAATCCCCTTAATCCATGGATGCTTTGTGACAAGTTTGGTTGAAATTGACCTAGTGGTTTTGGAGAGAAAGATTAAATTGTGAAAATTTTATACCAACAACAATAGACAAACATCACTCCAGTTTTTTGCTAAAAAGTACCAACAGCATGTACAATGCATTAAATGCTACCTTTTTCTGCATTTTATGGTTTAAAAACTTCTTACAGGCCTAATTTTATATAATGGATTGTAGAAATCAAGGCTACATGGGAGAATCATTAAAAACATTAACTGAATGGGTGTACCTCGGTGTTAACATTGACTGACTTATTGTTGTTATTGGGTCCTGTTGGTACAATGGGAGAATTGTGGAAATATTGACTGAACTGTTGATGTGATGGGGTCCTGAATGTATAATAAGAGAGTTATAGAAAACAATAAGAGAACCTGTTGGTATAAAGGGGACCTGTCAGTGTTATGGGATATAGAATCATGACTGACCTGTTGGTGTGCCGGGGTCCTGCAGATCCTCCATGTGTAAAACTTGCTCCTCCTCCCTCTCACTTGCCAGGCGGTCCTGTATAAACTGATTGAGAAGAACTCGTGCTTGCTGCCCCACCTCATCCTTACTAAGCTGCCGTGACACTCCTGAGGGTTCTTTACAAATAAAAACATTATTTATGCTTGTAATCATAAATTAATCATAAGTCAAAGCAGATAAAAGAGGAGCAAATCAGTTATAAAATGTCAGAAAGAATGAAAATTTCTGACACATATTATATGTTTACAAGAAATACATGTAGTAGGAAAACACACACAGTATATGTAAAAGTCTTCATTCTGCACCAAAAAAGAATACATGTAAGTTGTTGGTAATCAATACAGGATAAGATAAGGAAAATTTATTGATGTTGCTACACTGAGACAGCTTTCATATGAATTAATCCTTATTCTTTCAATCCCAATAGTAATCTGTCTGACATACTTTAGATATATCAATATAATTTTAATATTATTTGCAGCTATGGGCACAAAGTGTTGCTCTAGTAACAAACTGTGTTGGCCAACACAAAAAAGGATAAAATTTGCGATGAATGGCATACTGATCAAAACTTTTTGTTGGCAAAGTTCTGAGATTCAGATGCTGCCTCAAGTATTAGAACACTGAAAATGGCAGACAAAACACAAAAAACTTGATTCATTGCACTTCCTCCTCTTGAAGATATATCTGAGGAATAATGTCAAACAGTCAACCAAATTAATCTTAGATGATGACAATTTTTGACAACCCAATGGGATATAAATTAAGAAATGTAGAAAGGTGCTCTGGTGTGTATTAATGTTCACCTAACAGAAATACTGCTGCTACACCACCATCCAAACCCTTCCCTCCTCTGATCCACCCCATTACAAATAACAAATTAGTGATAATAAAAGATTGTTTTAAAATAAACTAGCTTAGCAAGATAAATTATGAAATGATGCTAATCTGAATGTCTCCATTTTCTTTTTTTTTTTAATAAATGGACCTTTTGAAGAATTAAAATAAAAAATCAATTGGATGCAACACCTCTTACTGACATGCCTACATTTTATTTATCCACTTGCATATAAGTTCATGAAATTGTGTTAATGAGTATTTTTCCAGTTTAGATTTTAAATTTATGCTAAGCACACTCTTTTGAATAACAACTCCTAAAATGCATCATCGTGTTCAGGGATCAAAATCAGCTTTTTTCATCACAGGATAAGTTTGGTCTGTAGATATAATCTACAGTTAACGTTAAATGAATGAATTAATGCCATTTTCTGTGCTTTATTTTGATCAATTTCTGGGCCATGTGAGAAATTTCAATTGGGCCTATCCGTTAGGACTAAAGAGAGCTCTTACAAACTGTTGTTGTCAAATAACAACATCTCTGAAATAATTTGTAATCATAATCATGTGTTACATTCAAAGCATTTATTTGATACAGATTTTTGACTGAATGTAAAAAAAAAAGGAAGAATAATTTTTTTTTTAAAAGGCTGTTGACACACAAAGCATTTGTGAGATTCTGTGTAATTTTAAAATTACAAATAACACATAACTGAGAAAAAACAGGTTATCAGAAAATCGTGGTTTACAAATCACCACTTGCTAGGATTATTGAGTGTAAAATTACTTCACTCGCATTTTTTAAAAATCACTTGTAAATGGTGAGTCAATTTTCAACCTTGCATATAAATCATACAGTGTGGGAAGCATTCTCTTGTGTCTTTAGTTTTAGTGTAAACTAAGGATGAACACTAAGAATTAAGTAACTTGCAGGTCCTTGGTACATTTTTTCCCCTTTTCTTTGCCAATGATTGGCATCAAAATAATTTAAAAAAAACATTTCTTGAATATAAAAGGATTCATACTTCAAACACTGACTATACTTCTTCACTGGAACATTGCATATATCAACTTACACAGCATCACAATTGATTTAAATAAAAATGAAACTGAAAGACGTGTACAAATACAAAACTTAACAATGAGGATACACAGAAGTACAAACTTTTTACAAAAGGTCGAAAGCTGTCAGATGAAGTCATGCTAAAATTTATTATGGTGCGAAGAAGTTAAATTAGATTAGTATAACGGGATTACTAGCTTTCTAATCTAAACCTCTTTCAATCAACCTTTCTGGATCTCCATTTCCGGTTTAGGGAAGTGAATAAGTTGTACCATGAATTCTTTCTGTACATACAATCTCGAGCCCGACCGTATAATATACCAGAGAGCCCGAGAAAGTAAGCACCGCCAATCCTAGAAATTGCTTGACATTTCGCTAGTAGTCCCTTTATATACTTTTTTTTTTACCTTGTTTGGGGTATGTAGCGGTTGTCAAATTATTTTATATCTTTCGATGCTTACAGAATACATTGATATGTAGAGCGTTATTGTATGGATCTGAAATTTTTTTTAGCTTATACAGATTTGTACACGTATACTAAACTGAGTATTCTTATCAAAAGATAAAAATTATTTTAATATGAATATATCCTTATGAAATATTTTTAAAAGTAAATAAAAATTAACAGTTATTAATTGCTAAATCATAATTATATACATACTTAACTAGATATATTATGCTTATGAGCTAGAAAGTCACAGTGTCGAATTTCATTGTAAACGCCATGTAATCATGCATCGTTATATTTCTCAATCTTTTTTAATTACTAGTTTTTCAAAATGCGCCATTAAAATACTGGCATAACTAGGTTGGTTTTGTTTGTTTGTTTATTTCTTTAAGCCAAAAAGCTCATCAGATTTTATACACAATATAGAGCATACAAAATAAAACATTTTTCCAACTGTATGATATACAAAACAATGTTGAAAATCTAATTAACATGGTGGTCGGGGCGGGGGGGGGGGGGGTGCATATAGCACCACGAAAGTTCGGTAAACCTATGGGAAGAGACAATATTAATCATAACAGTTACATGTATAAATTAAGGCCTTTTTCCTGCGTATAATATTTGGGATTAGGATCCCAAGAATAGAGTTGGAATCCTGCTTCAGTACCCAATGAACAACGTGAATAATCCAATGCTATAAAAACAGCGCCACGAGATCCCCCCTCCCCCCTAAATTTTTGTGTTCATGAATTTTATGTAGAAAAACGCAATAAATACTTTTGTTAATAACTATGTATAATTGCTCAACATTTAAAACTGAAATATATATATATGAAATGATTTTACTCACATGACATGACCAGTCCGCTGCCTGTATATATCTCATTGATAGGGACACTAGAATAACCATATCTGTTCAGTGATATTAACAAATCAACAAAACTTTGGGCTGGAACCTTATTTATTAATCTTAATTAAGAAAATTTGAGAAAAGGAAGACTTTAACGAAATTTCGAATTTCTTTTCACAATCTGATGATTGAAAAAAAGTAGACATAATGGAATACCAAGAGGAGAGAATATGCCCCCATTGCAAAGTAAAAGATGTGGAAGATGAAATACATTTTCTTTTATGTTGTTCATGATATTATCCTTTATCACCGACTCTTGCTGCCTCTTGTTGATGTGTCAGGCATATTTTATGGGTTCAGATGTATATAATAATGTACATGTTTTCACATTAAGTATTGATCAAATATGCAGATGTACCTTAAAATTAATTATAACAACATATGTCTACATATGAAATTTTAAAAATACCACCAATGTACTACTTGGAGGAATTACTCTTCGTTGTATGTTGTCTATTATCTCTTACTCTATCTGTAATTATATATTATATGTTTATAAACTGCTCATTTGGGCCCTGACTTGGTAACAAATCTTATTATTATTGTATTCTATAAAGATCAATGTATATTATTTTTATAAACATCTTCATTCTGTTTGTTGGAAGAATTTGAAGTTTTAAACATGATCATGAAATATGACAATAAATAAATTTATTGTCAATTATATAATTATAGATCTATTTTGAAAGTTACCTAACGATTACAAATTTTATCTGCCTTTATAGGTATATAAACTCTACAGGTATTTACTTGTGACCTTCCTGTTTTGTGAAGTCATACATGTACCAAAATGATGTTGATTCTTTGAAAAAATTATGTACATTTATTACAAAAATTAATAGTATGGTCTGTTCTCCCTAGCTAGCTTAATTAATCTCACCTTTTGCTTTATTCACTGTATTATGTACGACATGCTTTTATATGTTTATGTACCTCGTGTATCATTTACATGGTTTTGAGAGAATAAATTGAATTGTGTATATGTATATACTCTTTGTGTATGGGGTATGAGGGGGGATTAGTTCTCTGCACGGCCGTCATTGCCTCGGGTACCACTATCTAAAACTAAGCCCCTTCATTTACCTGAGAAAAATTTCAAAATATTGTTGACATTGTTGTATTTTAGTTTAAATAATTTGGGTGATATCTTCATTTTGCTTTGGACGGTAAGTTTCAGGGTAGATCAGATTCTATCAGAAAATACGTCAAACACCAGTCAAGTGATGGAAATCAAATCTGATTGATAGTTTGTAACAATTAAGATTTAAAAGTAAAATAATTTGCACGAACTTAATGTATCAAAATTTAATTAAGAATTTACAAAAGCTCCTTATCTTTATAATAAGAACATATATTTGTTTATTTGTTACATTGGCATTGGTATGTGTTTCTTGAGCCAAAGCAACCTTATCAAACGATAGACGCATGCGCTCCATTAATATGAATGGTATATTAATTTGATTCTCCAGATAGCATTCATTTTCACCAAAAGTTTCAGATTAAGGGATAAACCGTGCTCTTACTGGAACAAATATGAAATCTTTACTGTTTTTACTTCATATCGGAATCCACATAGGTACATGTATATTTAACTCTCTCTCTCTCTCTCTCTCTCTCTCTCTCTCTCTCTCTCTGCTTATTTCATAAGATATTTTGAAAACGTGCAGCAAAATATAAAAATTCAAAGAACTCTCTCTCTCTCTCTCGTGACAAAAGATTTACGTTTGGCTAAATTATACGAGATATTTTTAAAAACATGCGAATATATAAATATAAAATAATTCTGGAAACTTTTTGCTAGAAAAGAAATATTAAAACCCGTTTCATGAGTATTAATAAATAAGCAAAATAAAAAAATGGAACTGTTAGTTGTATCAATATTCTTATCATGTTTATGTAAAGCATAAAATCAATAATAATAACTATAACTCTTTTGTGTACGTTTTCCCACTTTTTCATGTTCCGCTCCTTTCTACCCCCCCCCCCCCCGTTTGTATCACTAATTTTTTTTTTCACATTCAGGTATTTGAAATTAATATTGGGGTGTTAGATATACGTTAGGTAGAAATCATGTTGAAATGTGATAATCTGGTTGAGTAAAAATAAATAGGCCTATGTAAATGTCTAAATTTACAGTTTTTTTAAATATAAATTTTCTTTTGTTATGATTTATTTATACAAACATCAAAAAGGAGAATAAATTCGATTACCTGATTCTTTTAAGAGCTTTAATTATTCTTTTAAAAATGCACTGGATAATGTAATTTATATATAGCAACATTTTCAAACCAATATTTATAGAAAGGGAAAAACTCAATAAATGAGAAAAATCTTCTTGGGCGTCAATTTAATTTTCACTAAGATTAAAAGTTCAATAAATCATCGAAGGCGCTCTCATTTAAGACACCTTTATTAATTCATTTAAATAGATAGGTAGACAGGGACATTGGCTAGGAGGAATTTCTATTAATATCCATTGTTAAAAGTATGACACAATTTAATCACATTGGTCAGTTAATTAAAATTTTCAGTCGTGAGAAAAAAAAAATCGAGGTTCGTGTTCTCGTGTACAAATTATTTCAAAACTTCAGTCTTCAGTTATGTTCCTTATCTTAAAATAAAAATTAAAAACATCAAAAAAGCAACTTATTCTATATTGAAAAAAGGGACAAGTATCTCTGAAATTCATATGCTATACACAGTAACAGCTAATGGCCTCAGTTTCGGCACGTTATAACGAATAAAAATTAATCAGAAGTCTAAAAAGCTGCAGTATATACATGTTTGTTTGTTTGTTTGTTTCTATGTTGTTTAACGTCCCTCTCGTATGGAGACGACAGCACTTGCCCGTGGAGAGCTGCAAATTTTGTCCTATACTCGGCACTTACGGCCATTGAGCAGTGAGGGATCTTTTTCGTGCCAGCAACTACTGCGACACGGGACCTCGGTTTATACGGTCTCATCCGAGGGACCGGTCTCCACGTCCCACAGTGGAATTCGAACCCGTGACGTAAGGATCATTTCCTTACTTCGCGACTCTAGAGCAGACGTTCTAACCACTGCGCCACGTGTATACATGTAAAGCATGGAATATATATATATATATATATATATATATATATATATATATATATATATATATATATATATATATATATATATATATATATATATATATATATATATAATTTTGTCTTAAATTTCAGAGTTCACAGAGGCGACTTGCAGTGACAAATTTAAGGTGTACCCCCATCATACTGCCTGTCTGTCTCGGTCACCGGATTCCAGTCCAGGTACACACTTTGATGTTTTCTGATTTAAATTAATCCAAGGATTTATGTCACAATAAGTACGCAACCTCGCGCCATTATCAGGATCGCCAACACTTGAGCGTAACCATCAAACACTGTTTCTAATTTTTAACAAAATCTTTGACACTTAAAGATCATTTGTGCTATAAGATAAAATAAGATTTTATGAGTTTATGCCCATTCAATGTCTTCACACGTTATTGGTCTGTTACCAGGTTGCAAAACGTTGTGATGAACACAATAAATGGTTTAACAACAGATTACCCCCCCCCCCCCATATATATATATATATATATATATATATATATATATATATATATATATATATATATATATATATATATATATATATATATATATATATATATATATATATAGTGGGAGGGGTGCATATTAGTAGAGAGGGAGAGAGCTTGAAGGGTTACATTTCGAAACATCAACGAGATGCTCATTTGTCTTCAGGGATTCTAATTATGCAATATCTCACACTCATCCACCCACTTTTCCCACTGCTTTTACTTAATTTCAATGACTATTAGGGAGTGTGACACCACTGGATGCAGTGACCGCCCACAATAAATATCGAGGAATAGCCGCCGCCAAAAACGGCGCCCTCAACATGATGAAGATGATTTGGGACCCGGAAGTGGCCATGGTAGCACAGAAATGGGCGGAAAACTGTAAAACGGAACACGATGGAAACAGAGAGCGGTTTATTCCAGGTAAGTCTTTTCCTGCAGAGCGTAATTTCAAGGCTGATTAAAATTCAGATCATATTTGATATATGTACGAGAAAGGAAAGTGATATGAATATAACAGAATTGCATTTTTTACACAAATCAGAAAACAAATTGATAAATGCGCAAGTCAGACAATAAATTGATCATGACGTATCTTTACAACATCTCTGTTACGCTTCGTCAATTGTTCTTTTATCTTTATTTTCTTGAATAAATTCTGTCCTCAGAGTTGCATGCTTTGTAGAGTAATTCCTTTAATAAATCATATTGAGGACATCAAATACATGTAAATATCAAAATGTCCACTTAAATAACGATTTTTTATCACTTGTATCAAAAGGAAGCGTTTGGCAACTAACAAATAAATGATTAAAAGATAGAAATAAATAAAAAATTATGTTGACCCTTATACATGAATTTGCGGTACTTATACACATAGCAGACACGTAGTATTGTTTTTGAAGGAGGGGGATGGGGGAGTCCAAAAAATGACAACTTATCTGAAAAATCTTTGGCAATCAAACAAAATAGGGGGAAAATTATCCAGACTCGAAAATCCTATTTCGTAAATGGGGGTTGGGTTGGTGGTGGGTTGGGTTGGGGGGCAGTGCCCCCCCCCCCCAACACTACGTGCCTGCATCGCGAGGACCAGGTAGTTTAAATGTTATAATGGTAACGGAATATGGCTGAAATGTACTGAAAACATCGTAAAACCATTGTATAGGTCGCTTTACGTTGGGACAGAATCTTGCATACAACCATTTTGGCACCATGACGTGGGACGATGTGGTTAAGTTGTGGTACGATGAGGAACCAGATTTTTCGTATGGGGGAAACAATAACGATTACATGAAGATCGGGCATTATACACAGGTAAGTATATATGTAGGTATTTGGACATTATACACAGGTAAGTATAGATGTAGGTATTTGGACATTATACTCAGGTAAGTATAGATGTAGGTATTTGGACATTATACTCAGATATGTATCTATAAAATTATGTGGATATTTGGACATTATACACAGATAAGTATACATGTATATCATTGAGAAATGAATGGCTGATAAAGTACGATTAAAAAAAAACCAAAAAAAAAAAACCCTTGAACTTTATTGTACATACGATTCCTATTTATGGAAGTTATGTAGACCAGGATTCGTTGTTAAGGAAGTAATAAAAAGTGCATGAAATGACATAAGCAGGATTTGATAGTTGAATGAACTAATTACGTAAAACGTATTCTCGTCTTCCTTTGTTTTGCGGAAGCATTATTGCCATTGTCCAAGTTCCTTATTCTATTGGTAAAACCGTTCTCTGTTAAATGACTTACTTTTAATAAATTTGATGACGAGTATTATAGTTATATGTTTTGTGTAATCTTTTATCTGTGTCCCTCTTCCAGTTGGTCTGGGCCGAGTCCTACATTCTCGGTTGTGGCTACAGTAACTGTAGTGGAACTCACTTCTACGTCTGTAACTATGGTCCAGCGTAAGTATCAAAACGTCAGTAACATAGTGTGTCGTCAGTAGATACATGTACATTTACATGTAGGCGCTAAAAGTAATTAAATTGGTGACCTTTTTGTTATATCTTTAATCAGAGGAAATAGTCCATCAGCTAGACTAGGAACACCGTACGAGAAACATGGAGCACCTTGCAAAAGCAGCGATAGTACAGGATTGTGTGGTAATAAATCATAATTCAGTTGTACAGCATGTGTATAAAAATTCTGCATCACTGTAATAAAATAAATTTAAGCGTTGGAAATATATAAACTTAAGCGTTGGACATCTTTTTACTGTGTTAGAATTTACATATGCATGCATATTGTGATAATAAATTCTGGTTCTTGATATGGTCACAATGGCGTGTTTAAATTATCATAAACATGTAATCCTTGTAACATTTTAACAATATATTATTGACAATTTTCTCTAGTTTGTCCTGGGACAACTGCATGCGAGGGAAATGCCAAGAAGAACCATACCACCTGCGCATGCTCCTGTCCTAACACAAATGTTTTTTCAGGGAATAAATGCGAACGTAAGTGTTTAAACCAGAAAATACTAGCAAATCAACAAAGATTATTTATTCATTTATATGGTATAAAATTAATCATCCAGGTGAGGGGCGGATCTATGAATAGGTGGGGGGGGGGGGCTTAGTCTCCAGGAGTCTAGAGATTTTGTAGGGTTCTAAGTACTAGACGTTTTTACCATTTCTTTTCGTCTTAATTAAGATGAGAAATGATGAAATCAGGAGTATTTTAAGGTCGTTGTAGAATAAAAGGCTAGAAGTCAAGCCTTAAGAGGCTCCTGCCTTGCAAAAATTTAAGAAACAAAGTCTTTTATTTACATCCTTATATTTGATGAAGTAATAAATTCTTTTAAAATTTACTCTTTTTATTAATCCTTTTTATCAATTTTAAATGTTTTAAAAAAAAGATAGAATGTTCAAGTTCTGGTTTTGAAAATTGATCAGTAGTTTACATGTCATAATTGAAACATGGGCCAAAGTTCAAGGAAGCTAACAAAAGGTATTTTCAGGAAGAGGTAGAAAAGGCTCCGAAATACGTTTTTAGACTATGTCTCAATTTGCCGAAAGTGACAAATCCAACAAATTAGACTCTACAATTCACTGGTATCTGTTGACTTAGTCCGAAATATCTGACATTTTCCCGGCTTTTATCAAGATTTTGATATTTTGCGTGCCAGGAAAACAACGTTTTCCTGGCACTCAAAATATCAAAATGGTGAAAAAAGCCTGGAAAACGTCAGATATTTCGGACTACTGTTGACTTAGATGTTAAAATACAGGTACGAAGAGGCAAGATACCGAGACAATACTAGTTTATCAATAAAACTGGAAAAAAATTACAATAAAACAAAAATAAAACTTGAGGTACCTTGAGCATTGAGTTCACAAAATGACTTCCCCACTCTCGTATGAATATAATAGCTAAATACATTTCTTGGCAGTATGTAAATGAGATTCTGTAAAAAGTCTATTGAATTTCATTCAAGGGTTTACGAGGAGCTGTGTTAACAACATGGGTAACCCTTTATTGAGTATAATGGAAAAGTCCATGTTTTGCCATGGGAAACCCCAAAAATAGATCTATCTCTCCGATCAAAACGTATAAATTAGGAGATGCTCGATGACATTATGTAATAAAGATTCTGTAAAAGTCTCATTAAATTTTATTCAGTGGTATACATGTAGGAGGAGTTGCGGATAAGAAATGGGTACCCAATTGTTAAAAAAAGATTAAAGCAAAGTTCATGTTTTGCTATGGAAAACCCTAAGTATTTTTTCCGATCGAAACGTAAAATAGGAAGTGAAAATGGCACTATGTAATAAAGATTCTGTGAAAATGTCATTAAATTGCATTCTATGTTGAAAGAGGAGTTGCGGATATAAGTGATGGATACCCCAAGAGTAACAGACGGACGGACACCCCCATCACTATATACCTCCACTTTTCAAGTGGGAGGAGGGTATAAAAAGATGCATGAGTCTCGAAATGTCGATTTTGCAAGTATGTATCATTTTATTACACCATTGGCTTATTAAATATCCATAAACAGATAAACATTTTTAGGTAACGAATCATTAGCTTAAATTAACCATTGTCCAATATCATACATGTAACTTATTTTTTATGCCCCCGCGTGAGAAGTGGGGGGTATATATAATGATGGGGAGTCCATCTGCCCGTCCTTCCTTCCGTTACACGTGGGGGTACCCATCTCTTATCCGCAACTCCTCCTTTACCACTGAAGAAAATTTAACTTTCTCAGAATTTTCATCAGATAGTGCCATTGTGCACCTCCAATTTTACGTTTTGATCAGAACATATTTGGGGTTTTCCCATAGCAATACATGGACACTGCCATTCTTTCTAAGCTATTGGGGATACCCATCTCTTATCCGCTTCTCCGCCTATATTATTAAGTAAAGTTTATTGAGGCTGTCACAGAATCCTCATTACATAGTGCATTGTGCACTTTTTACTACTTTTGAACAGACACATAATGGGGGGGGGGGATCCATAGCAAAACATGGACACTCATTCTTCTATTATATTGGGGTACCCATCTCTTATCCGCTACTTCTCCTATTTCACTGATTAATGAGACTTTACCAGGATTTTCATTCAGTAGTGCCATTATTGTGTTCCTCCTACTTTATGTTTTGATCAGAGAAATTTGGGCTTGCCCATAATAGCAAAACACGGACTTTCCCATTACACTCATATGGGAGCAGGGGGTATCATTTTGTGAGCTCTGTGCTCACATGCAGTCTAGTTTCATTTCACTGTAAGTTTCAACAAAATGCATAAATTTGACAAACTTTTATGCAACATAAGGTAGTTTCATTCATATTAAATTATGGTTAAAAACTTTCCTTTTCCTGCTATATCGTCCTGTGATTATGTTTTGAAAAAAGAATCTTCTGTTCTCCTCTTTTCATGATCGGAAATGGGAAGAGTATTTCGATGTAACTGACAAAAAGTTTCATTACACTCCAGAATCGATCCCAGTGGGGAAAGTTTCGTTACACTGCAGAATCGCTCCCAGTGGGGGAGGGGGGACCGGGTGCGCCCCTTGAAATTCGATCCGCCACTGCAGATTTTAATTTTTTCAGTGACCTGTAGCGGACAACAGGACCCTTCATACTGTCCTTTATCTTATAAGAAGGATCAGTGCATAAGACTGAGTAACGTGGCGTTCGATTGTCCATTCCTGTGTAACGTCTGTCCATGTGAGTATTGGTACAAGGTTCTCATGCTTGTGTTACATTAAAAGTTTAAATCTTAATTTAAACCTAACTGTAACACATGGTTTTTACAGATATATTTCATTCATAATAAAGAAAGTGACCTACCTGCCTAGTTCTCTGATGTGGGTAAAAATTGAACACTTTATATTCCACATGGTATTGACGAAAAGCAACACGCTGAAGTTGTATTTTAAATAATATATATCGGTTAACTTTCTACTAAAAAAAAATTATTTGATTTTCTACTAAAATATGAAGCTTGGAAAACAACAGAGTTTCAGATATCTAGTTGCACCTATGTTACAGAAAATCCATAATAATATTTTAGATGATTGCCAAAAAGATTAAATTTATCAGTAATGATTTTAAATGGCCATATAGGCATCTTATATGAATGTGCAATTACGTGTATGCTGGTATCTAAAATTTAAAGAAGGCTTTTGGCCAATAATATATGTAATACTAGACTATCTCCACTATATTAATCAATTTAAATGATTCTAAATGTCTAAAGTGTACTAGTAATTAAAAAAAATAATAAATAGCACCAAATTCTTTTACTTTTTCCAAGATGCCGAAAAAACTTACATTGAAGGCAGCACAGCACTACAGTGTGTAAAAACTGGAGGCTGTACAAGTACGGTTGGCGGATCTAACAGTGACGGCACAAGGAACAACGGAAGTGGAATAAAGGGGAAAGGTTCAAAAGGAAATAGTGGGACACAAAGTGAAGCACTCTGTTCATTTGTACTGTTGGCTGCAGTATTTTCATATATGAAATCTTTTGTAGTTTAGGGACTAAATTGTAATGTCATATATGGCTTCCTGGTGTAAGGGAGATAATTCAAATTACTCATCACCTCTGTTTTGCTTAGACTCAACATCTAGTATTTTTATGTTCTGTATTGCTGTTATTTCATGTATTTTCTTGTCCTCTTGAGTGTTACAAATTATGCTTGTATCTATGTTATGCCCCCAGTGTGACCATGATTGGCAAATAAATTCTATTCTATTCTGTTCTATTCTATGTGTTCAGATGAATTGATTTGTTTTGTTAAGAAAGAAAGAGATTCATGATTAAATTATTTATAGGTTCATGTATATATATATATATATTTCTTTAACTGTGAAAAACATGGAGCTACTTAAGCCTATTTATTTCAAAGACAAGGAACTCCAAGTGAACGTAACGAAAGGTGTTGACCTAATATCAGATTATGATTATCTGTTGAAGCTAGCAAAATTGTATCAGATATTCTGTGTGTTCAAAAAGACAGGGATCTTTGGCGGGTTTATGTCAAATCCTTAGAGAGCAGATCAAAACTTCTTCAAGAAGGTCTTGATGTAAGAAACAAACACATTAATGTTTATGACAACAACCCTTTCTCCGCAGGAATCAAAGATCCATCTGAACAGGTATTAAAGATAACTGTCAAAGGTGTCCCGCTGTCAGTAGATGATGATGAAATTATGAAAATGTTAAACCAATTTGATCTTAATTTCACAAGTGACTTGAAGTTTGAAAAAATAAGACATCCTGAAACAAGAAAACAAGGAAAATGACCGAGATCTTGAATGGAAATCGCTTTATATATGTTAGAGCGCTCCCTGAAGGCAAATTTCTACCCCGAACATGTAGATGTGCTGGCTTGCAGTGTTCCATCTACCACTACGGACAGCCTTCTAATAAGCGTACTCCACAATGTACAAATTGCTGGGAAGTATCCCACTATAAGCGAGACTGTCCTAATCAACCTAGATGTAAAGCCTGCAAGAAGGAAGGACATTCCCCGGGAGATGAGATATGTGACCAGTACACAGAGCCTTTGCCCAAAGTTGTCTTGTTTGCAGGAACTTCTGTCGAACTTCTATCCTTGCGAACTACTGTCGAACTTCTATCCTTGCGAAATTAAGGCTTTCGGTGTTCAACACAAATCATCTGAACACGCTTTTCAATATGTGAAGGCTATAAGAACCGGAGATATACCCAGGGCCAACGCTATCCAGTCTGCGTCTTCTGCTCTTGATGCAAAACGGATTGGTAAGATGATTTCGCCCTCTGACAGCTTCGAATCTAACAAAGTTGCTCTGATGACCGAAATAATGGAGGCTAAATTTGATCAAGTGTCAGATTTTCGCGAGGCTCTTCGTAAAGAAAAAAAGTCGACAATCTTCGTTGAAGCAACCTATGATGATTATTGGGCATCCGGATTGGACAAAGACGGAACCATCCACACATTCCCCTCAGCATGGCCAGGCCAAAATAAATTAGGGGAAATCCTCGGAAACGTCCTTGTATCCCATTGTAGCGACAAAGTACGTAATTCCCAGCGTTCTAGTTCTACACCGCGCACGACAAAAAACTCATCTCAGCTCGATATATCCTGTATGCTATCAGAGCTTAGAGCCCCAGAAAAGCGCGACAACTCTGGATCTCGCAAAAATCACAAAAAAGTCCCAAAGTCAGACACACAGTGACAGTTAAAATTATATGGAAATATTTTCAGTGTGGGACTTTCATATCTACTGCTTTCCCAATAAAAGACTTGAGAGTGAACACTTCTTTGGATCAACTCTTATAGGTATACTCATACTTAATTACAGATTTTTATCTTAAAACACTTAAAATGGCTTCCTTAACATTTATTTCAATAAATACAAGAGGTTTAAATTCTAAAGAAAAAAGAGATAAATTTTATAGTTGGATTTATGATACAAAAATTGATGTCATTTTAATTCAAGAAACACATTTTGTTGAAAAAAATGTTTTTCAATATGATTGTGCTTGGAATGGAAAGTCTATACATTGCTTCTCTGACTCTGCATTTAGCAGAGGGGTGTCTATTTTATTTAGAAAAGGGATAGATGTGGATATAAATAGTATACATAGGAGCAGTGATGGCAGAAAACTAATGGTTAATATTAATATTGGTGATATCACCTATAGTTTGATAAACATTTATGCGCCAAACAAAGAAACATCCAGGATTGATTTTTTTTTAAAGGTATGAAAAGATTTATTATAAATAATTCAACCAATGCAAGTAATATTATTTTATGTGGAGACTTTAATTGTCACATGGACGGAATTAATAATGATAAAAGTTCAAAGGTTTTAAAAGAAATTCTTCAACATATGGAATTGACAGATTTGTGGAAGTATAAATATGTAAATCTTAATGGATACACATGGTGTGATGCAAACAACGTCCCCAAGAGTCGCATAGATTATATTTTTATTAGTTCAACTCTGTTGATGAAAATAAAACAACTTTGTCTCCGTAGAATTCCTGATACTCATAATAACGGCACTAGAATGTCAGATCATAGAATATTAAAATTTGATTTTTCAATACATAATAACGAGCGAGGAAGGGGATACTGGAAACTTAATACTTCACTTTTAGAGTGTAATGAATATAAATCCCAAGTTAATGAATTGATCAAAGATATAAGTAAAAGAGAAGGCACTCCTATTGATAAGTGGGAGTCCTTGAAACGGTCGATCAAGGATTTTTCAATATCTTTTTCAATTAACCGTCAAAAAACCTATAAACAATTAATATTTCACATTGAAAAGGAAATTACGGAAATTGAAAATTCACCTCATAATTTAATAGACATGAATAAAAAACGCATTCTAGAAAATCAATTAAGTAACTTATACGATAAAAAAGCTCGAGGGGCACAAATCCGATCACGCGCAAAATGGGTGAGTGATGGTGAAAAAAATACCAAATATTTTCTAAGTTTAGAAAAGAAACACCAAACCAACAATGTCATCCAAGAAATTTTAAACGATAAAGATGTTCTCAGCGATGATGACGATATACTTGGTGCAATGTGTGATTTTTATGAAAATCTTTATACTTCAAAATTAGTGCCGAGCGATGATATTGACCTATATTTAGACGGTTGTAATGTAAATTTATAAACTTTCTAACAAGGATAGAGACATATGTGATGTTTTCCCCTCAATATCTGAATGTAAAGAAACAGTTATGAATATGAAATCAAATAAAGCCCCTGGACTAGACGGAATACCAAGCGAATTTTATCAATGTTTTTGGAATCAATTATCCCCTTTATTTTATGAAATGTTAAAGGAAATTTTCTTGAATGAAGAAATGACTTTTTCTCAAAGACTCGCAGTTATTTCCCTAATACACAAAAAAGGGGAAAAATATCTTTTAAAAAACTATAGACCAGCAGGGATGTGCAATTAGCATCGCTCGACGCCCGGGGCAACCATTTTTTGGGGTCGGGCTAGTGGTTTTCTGCATGCAGGTAGCCCCATGGGCTAGTAAAAATTAAAATATGAAAATCACTACTCAAGACTGGTATTTTCACTCATTTTTTGCGATTAAATACACACCCAATGAAAAATCTCTAGGCAGCATGCTCCTATTGTTCGTAAATCTCCATAATCTTGTCCATTTTGCAGCACTTCCTGGCTTATTCACTTCCAAAAACGATCGTTTTTTTCTAATCCGAATTTCCTCTATTCATGTGTTTATGGTAAATAAAGGCAAATATCTCATTAAATTATTAACGATCACTCAATCAACTGAAAAATAAGTGTTATGTGCTTTACATAAAATATTTTTCCAGTGTATTTTATAATTTAAGAAGAAAAAAATGATTTCATTCGTTTTAGATGAGCTAGTGCAATGCACAGAAAAAGGAAAAATAATTTTAAAAATTCATTTTTATTTTTTATCATAGTTATTAATTTATACATGATCCAATTTTACTAGTTAGTATTAAACTTTCATTTTAAAAAGAATGACCTTAAAACCCTTATACTTTTTCAACAATAATTAAACTATTTTTTTCAATATTAGTTGTTACTTCTCCCCCTACATTGGGGCTAGTAACTTTTTACTTGGGACTAGTAACTTTATTGCTGCCACTAGCCCGTGGGCTAGTACTTGATTTTTTTAATTGCACACCCCTGTGACCAATTAGTCTTACTTACACAGACTTTAAAATCACCAGATGAAATGGCAGGGATATTAATCAATAAGAGTAATTGGTTATGTGAATATAAAATAATAAAATCAATTTTCAAGAAATATGAAGAAAAATATGATTTCAATGTGTGTCAACATTATAAGGAAATGTCATTAAATACCCCATGCTTTAATAAATATTCAACAAAATTCTTTTATAATGAATTTTTAAAGAGCAAATTTCAAGTTCCAGTTGTGCAAGCAAAATATAATAAAGAGTTTAATATACTTAAAAGCGACTGGGAAAAAAATCTATATAAATAAGATAGAGTTAATGAAAGATAAGCAAATCGCGGAATTTAACTATAAGCTAATAAATAATATACTATCAAATAATTATTTTGTAAGCAAGATAAACAAAAACTCTAATTACGTATGTAAAATATGTAGCGAAGTTGTAGAAAATTCAAAGCACCTAATTTTTGAGTGTGCAAATGTGCAGCTTTTATGGAATAGAGTGAGTGATTTTCTAGGTTTTGATGTAAAATGGAAACACATATTTTTTGGTTTTTACAATGTTAGAAATGAAACCACTGTCATATATAATTTACTGTTGTCTTTTGTGGCTTTTAAGATATATAAATATAAAATTTATTGTCGATTTGAAAATGTTGATGAAACAGCTGAAGGAATATTACTTGATTTAAAATCTTGTATTTTAAAGTATTCTGAAATTTTACATGCTGTGGGAAATACAAATTATTCCTTATTTATCAAAAAATTATTAAGAAAAATGTAGATGTTTATGTCTTTGAGGGGGACCAGCCCTCGGGACGTACGTAAGAAGGGAGGTAAAATTAGAGACTCTGAGATGGTGATAGATTTACATCCCTTCTATATATCGTAGATATATATTGTTTACATATGTAATGTAAAATACCGATGATTTTCCTCACAGCTATACAAAAATTGTTAATAAGTAGGATCTGGAAAATAAATTTGAAAATATATATATATATATATATATATATATATATATATATATATATATATATATATATATATATATATATATATATATATATATATATATATATATATATATAATTGTTGGTTGGAAGATTAAGAATGTCTTTGTCTATAAAATATCAATCGTTTTATCTATTAAAGTTTTTGTCAATTAATTTGTGATTCTTAACCTCCTATACAGCATCACATCATATACAAGTAGAGCTAACATCAATCCTTCTTTTTTTCTAGTCTTAAACTTCTTATTAAAGAAATATTCACAAGAGTTCGAGGTGAAAAATCGGTTATCTACCCTAATGGACTACCGTAGTAGTCTTTAACGGAAGTTACACGGGGTTTTGTTTAAAATAATATAAAGGACAGGTGAAAGCACGCAGAGAGTAAACAAACAGCAGAATTTCACTTCCTAGATCGGTTACACCGTGATCATTTAGAATGGAGGAAAAAGTAAATACTGGTATGTGAAGGAGATTTTTAGTGTCTTATTTTTTAAAATGATAATTGCATGTAACCATACATTTTTGAGATATCATTTTGATGAATGAAATTATACAACAATTAATTGAATTATATCATTTAGTCCAACATGTGCAAACTGAAACACCCTAGTCACGTTTGATTTCTATGAAACACCGTTAAGGTCAAGATCTAGTAAAATGAAAAGTGCATACATAGTACCAGTGTCCTCAAATTTGAGAAACGAATCCCTTTAATAATCCATTAGTACAATTACATGTATATAGCTTAATAAATTAAGTTACATTTATAATATCGAAACATAATTTTTAGGTAAACTCAAAGAAACAACATATTTTAAACTACCCTTTTCAATGAAAAATGAAGAAAAATCGGGTATAAACATGGGATTTTGAGAAATCGGTATATACACTTTTCTTTCGCTAGATCTTGACCTTAAGACGTTCAATTCAATTATTCCCAGACATTTTTGGCTCACCTCGACGAAGTCGAGATGAGCTTATGCTATACCCCCGGCGTCGGTGTCGGCGTCGGCGTTAGCGTCGGTGTCCCGGTTAAAGTTTTAGGAGCAAGTCCCATTCCCAAGTAACTATAAGCCCTATCTGGACCAAACTTGCATGGATGATGCATCTAGGGATGGACACTACCACACCTGCTTCGGATGCTGGATCTGACCTAGATTTTCCAGACGAGTGACCAGGTTAAAGTTTTTGGAGCAGGTCCATTCCCAAGTAACTATAAGCCCTACCTGGACCAAACTTGCATGGATGATGCATCTAGGGATGGACACTAACGAACCTGCTTCGGATGCTGGATCTGACCTAGATTTTCCAGATGAGTGACCAGGTTAAAGTTTTTGGAGCAGGTCCATTCCCAAGTAACTCTAAGCCCTACCTGGACCAAACTTGCATGGATGATGCATCTAGGGATGGACACTACCACGCCTGCTTCAGATGCTGGATCTGACCTAGATTTTCCAGATGAGTGACCAGGTTAAAGTTTTTGGGGCAGGTCCATTCCAAAGTAACTAATGATAAGCCCTACCTGGACCAAACTTTCATGGATGATGCATCTAGGGATGGACACTACCACGCCTGCTTTGGATGCTGGATCTGACCTAGATTTTCCAGATGAGTGACCAGGTTAAAGTTTTTGGAGCAGGTCTATTCCCAAGTTACTATAAGCCCTACCTGGACCAAACTTGCATGAATGATGCGTTTAGGGATGGACACTGCCACACTTGATTCGGATGCTGGATCTGACCTAGATTTTCCAGATAAGTGACCAGGTTAAAGTTTTTGGAGCAGGTCCATTCCCAAGTAACTATAAGCCCTACCTGGACCAAACTTGCATGGATGATGCATCTAGGGATGGACATTACCACACTTGATTCAGATGCTGGATCTGATTTAGATTTTCCACATATGAGACCAGATTTAGATTTTGGAGCCGTCTCATTCCCAAGTGACTATAAGCCCTACCTGGACCAAACTTTCATGGATGATGCATCTAGGGATGTACACTAACAAACCTGCTTCAGATGCTGGATCAGACCTAGATTTTCCACATGAGTGATTAGCTATAAAAAATTATGGCCTGTTATGATTAAACTTGCATAGATGGTGCATTCAAGGATGAAACTTCCAGACTTGCTTTGGATGTTGGAACTGACTAAAATTTTCTTGATTAGTAAACAGTTTTTTGAGCAGGTCTATTTCCAAGTAACTATAAGTCCTACTTAAACCAAACTTGCATGGATATTGATCTTGGGATGTACCCTAACTAGAAAAAAAATATGATGTGAAATTTGCCTTACTTATAGATAACATTCGTCGAGGTGAGCTTCGTAATCTTTGATTACCTATGTTTTTATAGTGTATATCTTTACATGTAAATGCATGCCGTTGTTATACATTTGTAATTGTGGGACATGAGAGTCTGGCACACCTGCAAATTATAGCTGTGCTGTTTCATCAAATCAGCCGAAGTGGCTTACAGTACCTTGAATAGTTAGCTAGCTAACATTGGGTCGTATTTTTGGCTGACGTTTTTCATACCATTTGTTACACTTGATCTTTGTTTTATACTAAATTTGACGATATGGACTGTTCCGTGTACATGATCAATACATACGGCTAAGGGTGGGTATTACCGATCAACAGGGGATGCCTACTCCTTCTAGGCACCTGATCCAACCAATGTATTTTCGGGGGGTCCGTGTTCTAGGCCCTGTTTACAGATTTGTATTGTTTGTAGATTTTTTTGAGATTAATCATTGTTCTCCTCACCTTTTTATCCTTACCAACTCCAACTCGTTTAAAGTCAACGTTTTGCAAAATTCTATGGTCGATACAACAAACTCGTTTGCAAGTACAATCTGTTGTCAAAGGACAGATGATACATTGTCAAGCAAACTTTATTAAAAACCATGTTTATATAAGTAAAATGAATAAGTTTTAAAGCATAAGATTTTAATTTTTCATTCAAGTTTTCACAACGATGTCCTATAAAGTGATTTTGAAAATGAATATATTTATAAGGGTGTTTGCAGAAAGGTAGAATTTGAACATCATAGTAAGTTTGCAAATTCTTAAGATTTAAGAAATTTCATATTTGCAACATTTACAACCTAAATAGGTCCAAAATATATACCAATCCAGGCAAGTCGAATTTGACTGTCGGTCGTCTGAAATACAAATTGTTTGGTCATTATTTTCAAACTGAATTGTCTACAGAATTTTCCGTTTACGAACCCTGACTTGGCGGGTGTGACCGGTCCGCAGGGAATGCTTACAGTGTACTTCTACATGGGACCTGATCGAGTCTCTGTTTTTAGATGTTCGTGTTAGCATTGATCATAATTTACATTGTAGAAATGAACTTTTGAAAAATGTTCATCATTTTCACATTTCATGGTGCACCTTTGCTTTTGAATTGTCTAAAACACTTAATTCATTCTGACAAAGTCTCGAGGTCTTATCCTTTACATTGAGCACATTGGTAAGTGAAACCATTTAAAGAACAAAATGAGTACTTTCACCGCGGCAATCTGCTAAGTTAAAAAAAAGTGTTAACTCAGGATAAACATAATTAATATTTGTTTAGGCATAGGATTCTTTGCACGGCATATAAAAATACATTTATGATTAATGTGCAATTTAAAAAAAAGTTTCATTAAAAATTGTGTTCCAGTTTTAGAAATTTTCTTAGCTATATAGTGTATATAGAATGGTGATATAGCAATTTTGCTAGTTATAAATACTTTATTTCTTTTTCTTAAGAAGTAAAAGCCTCAGACGTGTGCAAGATGACAATTACCAACATCCCATAATCCTCAGACCACATGTTGTATCTCATTAGTCCGTCACCAGAATGGTGGACAAAAAACTTGAAAACTTAAAGTGTTTTTAAAAGAAGATCTTCACATTTTTATTAACAAACAAAACTTCTATAATTCAGTGATAATTGTCACAAAAGAGAAGATAGACGCATGGAACGTGCTGGATTCTCACAACCCTAACCAGATGGAATGTCCCCACTGTCAGAATGGCGTTGTTCCGGTTGTCGTTTATAAGATGGGCTTCCTGCCGCCTCTTCTGACGTGCTTCATGATTGTAACAGGGTGGGTATAGAACATTTCCATTACTTCCCTCTGATTTGAAAGGACGATTAAAAACTTGCACTTATTTTATTTATAATAGCTCTGCTTGCTGAGATTTACATGTAGCCCTCAATGTGTACTCTTTCTTTTTGGAGTTAACGGTGGATTTTTTTCAATGACTTTCTTTTACGTTTTACAGTATTTTTATTATGTTTGCCTGGCTTCCGTTATTGGACAGAAGATTGAAGACCATTATACACTACTGTCCTACCTGTAACCGTGAAATACGACGTCTTACAAGGTTTTAAAACATGATTGTGACGTAAACCTTTTGTTTGTGTTGTCCATTCTATAGCATAATGTTGAGCTAACTCCCCAAACAATCCATTAAGTCACCTGTAAGTGTCCATTCTTTTTGGAAAACTGTCTATTCTTTTTAAGAATGGACAGTTTTTAAAAAAAAGAATGGACAGTTAAAACAAACAGAATGGAGAGTTACAGGTAAACTTTGGAATGCGCCCAAGAGGAAACAAAAACAGATATATTAAATACGATTTAATTTACAGGTAAATAATAAAAGAACACGGAGATCCAAGTTAATCCAGAACACAAAGTCTGCACAGCATTCGCTCGATTTTATACTTTTGAATCCATGAATAATGACCATTATTTCAATACATGTATTCGAAACTGAATTTTCACAAAACTTGAATTTAAATGACAAAATTTCACATTTGATTTAAATTGCGAAAACATCATTCCCTTGAGAAGAATCCATTTTAAAATGAAGTACGGCTTATAGTAAATCCACCACAGAGAAAACAGTTTGCACCATGAGCACTACACTGCTTCCCTAGAAAATAATTAGAATTGAAACATTTCCAGATTTGAATTGAAATACATTTTCAGGTCGACGTTTGGCTCATGGCTAATCCAAGACTCAGAACACAATTTGCATATCACCATTACTCTGCTGCAGTCAACATTTCCTCAAAAATTGAATTCAAATAAACCATTTCCAGATTTGATTCGAATTTGATTATCTGTATCTGTCGAAGAAGAAATTCATTTTTAGGTCAAAGTTTGGCTACTATTTTCTTTTACTATTCCCTATTCCCAGGTCCAACTATCACTGATTTTGTGCATCTTTTAGTTCATTAGATTTTGCTTCTGTCATATACTCTCTCCATCGGAGGAAAACATGCATACCTTTTCAATGCAAACTAAAAACTGACTTTGAAGCGTCGCATATGCATCCTTGTATAAATACTAGTATCCCCCAAAATCCACCTGTAACTGTTCATTCTTTAGACAAAAACCTTTAATTTGTTATTTGCATTTGAAAACACACTGACTATTCAACAAATTGCTGTTCATCCCAGCTTACCTGTGACTGTCCATTCTGTAAACAATGAACTTGTCATTGTATGTGTGCTACCTGTCATATCTGATACCAGAATTGTACATTTTTTTTTAATTCTTAGAACAAAGGAAATCATGTTTTAAGTAGGAGAAAGGCCTCAAACTGTCCATTCTGTGAGAGAAAGAACTAATCTCGGGCCTACGGCCCTCGATTAGTTCTTTCTCTCACAGAATGGACAGTTTGAGGCCTTTCTCCTTTACGTAACATACACTACTGTCTTACCTGAAACCGTAGAATACGACGTCTTACAAGGGTGTAACATATACTACTGTCTTACCTGTAACCGTGAAATACGATGTCTAACAAGGATACGTAACAAATTAAGGTTCTATAGACAAGAAATATCATCCTCTTTCGCTTGTTAAGGCTGCATTATGTGTCAACAATCCCCTGTATTTAAGACTGTAGCAGTGGTCAGTATTCACATGTATAAACACTGCTCCAGGAAGCCCTTGCTTGCTCGTTAGATTTCATTTCAAGACCATTTTGTTTATATACCTGTACATATACAGTATATCATGCTGAATCAGAGAAACATTGTTTTTTTTTTTTGTATTTTTGTTTCTCTATTTTGTTATCCATTGCATCCTCAGTTTACCTCATCATCCATTGCAACCCAAAGTACTACACTGGCTGAAAATTTTCCAAAAAAATAAATAGGGGGGAAACTAGGTGCGTTTGTTCATACATGTGTATGACCTGAAAATATTTAATTTGCCATCATATTTTTATTTTTCATTTCAAGGTATAAAACGTAGAAATCATGAAACCAACTCAACCAATGCTATCAATAAATGCCATATTTGATTTGCAATTAATGAACTTATTCACAGTCAACCGATATGTGTGTCGTCCTTGAGAGCAATATTAACCCTTCCCTTTAATTCTCGGAGACGTTTACTATATAGAAATCTGAGGAAGTCGATCTCAGTTGATGCAAACAGAAGCCACGATAGCAAACGTACAAAGACAACCTTGTCCAAGACCATAAACTGAGAACAAATACAGGCAAACTTTAGGTTTTGAATTTTTTGACTTTTATCCAACAATTATTTCTTTAAAAATGCAAGTTCGTATATTATTGAAATACAAATAGATGTACTCGATGAAAATTAAAATAATTTCACAAGTTACACTACTTTGAATGTTTACTTTACAGTATCAGTCTGTGCATAATATACATGTATGTAAATAATTCCATTAAGAAAACTCCATTATTAATATTTTAAATACGTTTCATTATCATAAGAGCTCTGCTCTCAAGTCTGAAGTCAGGAATTTATTGACCAAAATATTGGTTGTCAAAGAATTTACCTCTCTATGTCTTGAAAACGGGACAGTACTATTTTAATACAGAAGATGCGCTGAAAATCGATTACATTGCAATAAATGATTCGATTTGTTTTTGTTTTTTGTTTTAAAAAAAAAGAAGAAGAAATTCCAGCGTAATGTGCGCGTAATTGTATACAGTAAACCACGCAAATAACGAAGCGCCAGGGACGGACGATTTTTCTCCATTAATAAGCTTCATTATGAACTTAATTCTTTATATTCACATGTTTTAAGGTCAGACGATACGTTCCTCAAATATCTGTTTTGTATATCTTCGTATTGTGTGGAAAATATTCAAAATTTTAATTACCTTCTGATTTCTAAACTGGTTTCTAATTGTCTTTAAAAATTGAAACACTAAAAAATGTGATATTGGCAAATTAAGTTTTTTCCAAAAGGATTTTATAGGAAACACCATCGTCTGGTATCTTGCACAAATGCCCGGTAAGGTACCTCAATTTTTTTTTGCGAGTAAACATGTTAAAGGAGCATACTTTAATGACAAATTCTGAGAAAAAAATATATATTATTGAGGAACGTATCGTCTATCCTTAAAGACATGGCGAATGAAAACCAATTCGCTGTAAGCGTCAATTCATATATGTGCGTTCACTTTAATCGTGTTTTACTGTACTAGTACATTGTTGTTCAATTTAAAATACCAGCATTTATTAAAAATATTTTCTCAAATCAAGTCAATGAATGTTTCCTGAAACCAATTATTTTATAATTATGTATAAAGTAGTAGCACAAAGCTATCGGAGTACATTTTTGGTATTTGATATTCAATGTCAAATAATAGAATTGTTACAGTGTAGAGCAGTGTGTATATACAGAAGGAAGAAGAGAGAACAATGCCAATTAATAAAAGGAATCGTTTTATTAATAATTTGAGGCCATTTTCCTGTTCTGAACTGAACTAACAGTAACTCGTTGTTGACATGCATGATTTATAGCAATCTTTTGATATTTTTTTTTTTAAATCTCTGATCATTAAATTGCAGTGCGTTTCTTGAATACTAGACGAAATGCCCTTATGTTTTACACTGGAAGTTTCAAAATAACCACAAATATGGCATTGCAAGAAATACGTTTACTTATTGTCATGAAACAGTTCAAAGTATATGTAGTAAAACAAATTACAGTGTATATCAATAAATGTGGTAATTCTACAGAAAAAAATATACTTTTCATAGAAACGTACAGATTGTCATGCATGAATGTTTTTCTCTCCATCTAAATATTAATATGCACCATCTGTAAGAAAATCTTTTAAGCTGAAAGAATGTACGTCTGAACTACGTATGAATTAATTTTTTATATAAAAAATATTTGAAAAGAAAGGGACTTTTTTGCTAATAATACAAATTTGGATATATAGACATTTTATGAAAAAAGTTTTCCTTAGGCAACATCAAACTTCAATAATATTTTATTTATGACCTTTAAAATATAAGTTCGATTCTGTAGAAATAATTTTTATTAAGAGATGATAAGAATAAAAATCATTTATTTTAAATTTCATTATTAAGTACGGGAGATTTTGTACAATTCTCATTCGTTTTTAAGAAACGCAACAATTGTAAATAAGTCTAAAAGACATCTGCTATATCTATGTTAATTAAGATTTATATATGTGTATGTATAATCAGATGGATCTATATTATATAAATGATTTGAATGTTTATCTTAATATTATGCATAGATTCTAATTTTTGTGAAAATAATCACAGGATTTGATGAAACAAACGGCGTTATAATATACCTTACGTTTACCATTGAACATGTGTGTCGCCTGTAACATATTTTTTATGATAAATCGATTGAGGAGGGATTTTATTTAATAGATGTACGAGGTGGTGGGTTGGTAATAAAGTAAATTTTAATGCTATTTGTGAAACGTAGAAAAAAGTTTCATTCCTTGTGGTTTTGTTAATGGTATATGAACTTAGATCATATTGTCAGACCAAGCTACTGTTTTCTGCTGTTTATGTCTTTGATAGCGACCCTAATGTATAATATCAATGTGATTGCTTTTACTTTTCTGTATTTCTTTTTTTTTACAATACTGTTATTTATTTATGGAAAAAAGTGATATTTTGTCACAGTTTTAAAGAATATTAGAAGTGCGAGAGAAAAAAAACCTCTTGATTTTTCTTAATTCTTTTCACGAAGGGTGTTGTAAAAAAAAACCTATTGTAAGACAGAGAAAATAAATAAACCGTCCTGACAGAGATTAAAAGTGTCAACGTTTCTCCAAATATGTTGTTGAAATCCATGTTTACTATGTTTTCAATATCACAATCGCTAAACCATGATGTCTCATCTCAAATTTGACATCATAGCCTATGACACTGTGCTAGGAAAAGGCAGAGGCAAATAAAAAAATCAAAGGGAATGATTGAAAATTTTGTAGCTGGATATGGAATTTATTTCACGAGTGTTATTGGATTTTTGATAATTTCACGAGTGCGAAACACTAGTGAAAATTTAAAAAAAAATGTCCCACTCGTGAAATAAATTTCATATCCAACTACAAAACATTGAATATCCTCTATTTATAGTTTTACTGTGGTTTACGGTATTGAGACACCAATGCTTGATTAGAAAAGGCATTTGTTTATTAGCGTCTTGACATTCTTCTGTGGTGAGCCCAATTTGTGAATCATTTTTTAAAAAAAATAACACTCAAATTTCTATAAAACATCACGTACAAGTACTATCTGTTCAGTGACTCATGGATGTACGTTTTTGTTTTGAACATATTTTATTGCATGAATCAAAAGGATTAGAAACAATTTACTGGTTCCTCTCTTTATATATAACAATTTGTCATGCAGTTGAAATAATATACAGAAACATTTATTACATTTTCAACAGTGAAATACTGTGATTAATTTATCGAATAAAAGTGATATTCTCTCACAGTGTAAAAGAATACCAAATGATATTCTCTCACAGTGCATGTGTTAGTAAACTTAGAAAGTTATTAAAAAATAATTTTCAGTCTGTCATAAGATAGAGATAGTAACTAAACCGTCTTGATAGAAACTAAAACTGCCATTTTCTTCCCAAATATGTTGCTAAAATCCATGTTACAATGTTTTCAATCTCACAACTGCTAAACGTCTCAACGGCTCAATTACAACGTCACAGCCTATGACACTGTGTTAAGAAAAGACAGAGGCAAAGAGAAAATTAAAAAAATGTAATAAACAGAAAATTCAATGTTTTGTAGTTGAATATGGAATTAATTTCACTCGAAGGAATTTTTTTTAATTTTTACTCGTGCTTCGTACTCGTGAAAAAAAATATATATAAAAATCATGTCCCACTTGTGAAATAAATTCCATATCCAGCTACAAATCATTGAATATCCTCTATATATTTAACAGAAGATACAACTGGAAATTCTGTTCAATAACATAGCAATCGAAAATCTACAGGTTTCATCAATAAATTTATGGAAAGCATCAAATATATTGATATTAGTGGATGGATGTTCAATTTAAATATTATAATTACAATGTACATAGCAGAAGTTATTTCTTTTAACTGAGTAACTCTATCCCAGTAAATTAGGAGTATATTTTACAAGTAGAAATAGAGAATATTTAATGTTTTGTAGTTGGATATGGGATTTATTTCACGAATGGGACAGGATTTTCTAATATTTTCACGAGTGCGAAGCACGACTGAAAATATGAAAAAAATTCTGTCTTACGAGTGAAATAAATTCCATAACCAACTACAAAACAT